TCACTCCTTTTCCGCTTTCAAGAGAGCATGATCAAATAAGAGACATAGAGAAAACAATATGTCTCCTCGTTTTCACAAGAAATCTAAACAAAAGTATTCATGAATATGAAAGAAGACAATCAACGTTCATATATATACTTTTTTTTTTTAAGGCAAACCAGATGATAATAACTATTAACCCTTTTTCTCTAGAAGATCAAAACAAGTCTCAGATAATAACCATTGACTCTCCTCATTTATCTTGCCAATAAGAAATAAAGAAAGACAAAGGGGAGAAGGAAATAGAGTAGTTAGAGAAGAAGATAAGAGCAAGAAGAATGAGAGGAAAACATAGAGATATACCTGCTCGAGGGAGATATACCTGCTCGAGGGAGAGAAGCATCCGGTGGCTAGGGCAGAACAGCGTCGGGCTCGATCCCAAAGGCGGAATCGGACGGGAAAGGGGCCGTCGTCCTGGCTAGTGTTCGGCAGGAGGGCGTCGGAACAGAGAGGGAGCAAGAGCTTCGACCTGCACTTGGGGTCGTGTGAACAGAAAGAAAACGGAGAAGAGGGAGAGAGATCGGCGAACCAGACGGCGGCTATTTGGGATCTGGTCTTCTGGAGGTCGAACGGGCTTCGGCGGATGGAGATCGGACGGCTGTCGTCGGGACAGTGAGGCTTCGCTCGGGTCAGCCACACGAGAGAGGAAAGGGGAGCTTCGGCTTTCACGCGAAAGAGGGGCTTCGGCTCCTCTTGCTGGTGTGAACCGAGAGCGACAGAGAGAGAGGGGTCGGGACGGTCGAGCAGAGAATGCGAAGGGCGCGTCAATATGTGAACCCCAGAGATAAAGGGGGAGCGCCGCGTGAGAGAGGGGGATTCGGCGTCCTGGTGTCGTCCGAGCCGAGAAGAGACGGCCCGGGAGGAAGAAAAGATAGGAGCGGCTTGCCCTGGGAACTCGAGGGATACCTGAAAGTTTGCAATCAGAGCAAAGTGTAACAAGCCTCAAGACCATTAGTCAGTGGCATACTGCATTCAAAAAGCATGGAAAGTGGGTGGGTATAGATGGGTACGACATCCCGAAAATCACCATGGGTGGGCGAAGCCCGTTAGAGTAAAGCATGGGTACCCAATGGGTAGGCTGCAATTGAACCAAGCGTTCGACGAGCTACTGTTGCTCGGTTCGATTAAAGCTCTTTTGTGATTGTTTAATTAAATAAACAAACAAACTTGAACAATATTTTAAATACTCGATCATTAAATAAACAAGTTTGAACACTAATATGTTCGGCTCATTTATGTTCATGAACAACATCATTTAAAGCTTATGAATAAGCTTGACATTAGGCTCGATAAGAAACTCGATTAATGTACAATAGCTAATTAAAATTTGTCCATGTTTGCTTGATTGTTTGTTTAAAATATTTTTGACCAAATCTAAGATGAATCATATATCACTGGTTCATAAACGAGCTCATTAAGTATTTTTTAAAAAATCTCTAAATATGTTAACAAACATGTACGATGTTGATTCTAATCGAGTCAGGCTCGACAAGGCTCGATCAATACGATCAAATACGCTCGAGGGAAAAGTTAAGCTAAAAACGAGGTCAACAGGAGGCTCTATAAAGCTCGTTTGTTAAGTTAATGAACATTTATAAGTAGAGCTCATTTATAGTTCATTAAGGCTTGTTTGTTTAAAGCTCGATAAACACTAAACGAATTGAACATGAATCAAACATGAACCAAACATGAACACTGATTAATTTAAACGAATCAAACATGAACACAAACAATAAAACTTGAATCAAATATAAATCAAACTTGAACAAAATGATAATAAATGAATCATATAGTAAATAATATCCTGATCACATGCTTAGTAATAGTAAATCAGTAATAAAGTAGCAGAAAATCAATAACAATAAAGTAATGGTGGTAAATAAGTAATAATAAATCAGTAGCAATAAATTAGTAATAATAAATTAATAACGATAAATTTTTAGCAATAAATTTTTATCATATATATATATATATATATATATATGTGTGTGTGTGTGTGTGTGTGTGTGTGTGTGTGTGTGTGTGTGTGTGTGTGTGTGTGTGTGTGTGTGTGTGTGTGTGTGTGTGTGTGTGTTTGTGTGTGTCCAAGCTAAGCATTCATATATTTTCCAAGTATTCTTAGTTTAGTATTCACGTGGCTTTTAGTAATCAAAGTCGTCACTCTGGTTCATCAGAACAATAATTATTTTGTATAACCCTCAATTAGTAAATCATGTGAATCAATAGATGATGTCACCACAATCACATTATTTAAAGAAAGATTGCTGACCGACCATTATATACAAGTACAAATCAATCTCAAGCCAACCTCAGTAATGAACAAACATTTCTTTTTTTACATAAATAATATTATTAAAATATAACGAGTAGCTGTTACTTATTGACATACTCATATTCATTAGCAATGCTTATTTCATGAGTATGCTCATAGCCTCATATCAAGATGCCAAAAAATCACTGCATATCTTATTCCTACTAAAATTATACAAAATTCAATAAATAATATAAAATCATTCAGTTAAAATTACTAAAATAATTAATACTACAATATAACAAAAGTTATGTGATGGAAGATCACTAAATCAAGAAAAGATATAACAATATCGATTTAAACCGAAGAAAAAATATCGGAATCAAAATAGTTGAAAATAGAGATGATTAGAAGTCATCTACAATAATTAGAATAATGTTCATAATAGGAGCGTCGTATAGAAAAACCACGTAAGCCTTTTTTATCTTTCTTTTCTCTTTCTTCTATCCTTTTCCTCTCCTCCCTTTTCCCTAAGAACTATTATATATATATATAAAGGAACGAGTTTCATGTGTCATCTAGATTCGGCTGTTGATCAGTTGCCAAACTTTTCTCCATACAGCCTCAACTTTTTAGAGAGCTGAAATCTGCCTTCAGAAGTTTTGGCCATATGACGACGGATTAAATTCCCTAAGATATTGAGTTCCAATGGGAGAGTTCGTTGAGTTTTGAAACTTGGATGCATACACTGCACCTGTTCATGCTTGTAGATCTCTTTATTTTAACTTTAAACTTTTCGTAATGCCTAATTTATGGTCCTTGCTTTAAGTCCATGCTAATAACACATTTTAGGATGTCAAGTCAAAAAGCGCAACTAAAGCGCAAGGTGACGCGGCAAATTTTTATTGGCTGTCCGAACTTATCTTTTGGCTCCGGTCACCTGACCCAATAATTTGCCCATATCCGAACTCTAACTGCAATACTCATTAGGTCTATATAGAATATTAAATAGTGAAAAGAAGAGAGATGAGAAAAAAGACTGAAGAATCTAAAAGAGAAGATCTAGGAATTTATTACCAACATAAAATATATAGGATTATTGTAAGTGTGACATATACTCTTGGTATCCTATGAAAATATCGCTCTCATCCCATATTTATATGTCGCCAAAAAAAAAAAAAGTTATGTAAACAATAATAAAATATATCTAGCTACATGTACATAAGCACGCATTGATGATTGACATGTGGTCAATTATTATTCATAGCATTCATCTTAAAGGTTGGTGGGGCTTATTGGCATGGACACGTTGCTAACTTGTTGGATGAAGTTGTTGATTTGCTAGATTAAGGTTTCGTTTGGGGCAGCTTTCTTACTACTTCTTAAAGCAGTTTTTTAATACAAAAATTTAAAATTTTGTACTAGAAAGCTGCTTTAAGCAGCAATAAGAAATCCGTCCCAAACGAAGCCTAAGTCATAGACTTGTCTTTGTGAAGTGGTAGAGTTGTTTGGTTGAAGTGGCTAGCTTGTTTGGGAGAAGTTGCTGATTCGTTTCAAGTCCTCAACGAGTATGCATTTGTCTATTTCCCCATTAACCGGACAAGTTCTTCAAAAAGCTTGAACTGATTTGAGTTGCTTAAAAAGCACATAATTTTTCCACATGCAGAGATTCATAGCATGTACGTAATATCCAAAGAATTTAATTATCAAGGCATCTCTCTCCAGCTTATTTCGTTCACTTGAAATTAAGACGTCACAAGCGGGTCCACTTTTGGCCTAGGGGCTCATGCATCCATTGGTTAATAGAGTTGTATAGTGTGCAAATATTAAGATTTAGATGTTAAAAATATGAAGAGGGTGATTTTGATCAGTGTTGTGTTGTGTATGTAAATTTCCGTTAATATTTTAAATGGAGGACTAATATGCATAATATTGTAAACTATCTCATTTTATATATTTAACATATAAATTTTCTTATTTATAAAATATAACAGTCTACGGACGAAAGCTTGATGAAATCTTCGAAAATGAAATCAAAGTTTTTCAGAATTTTAAAGAAAATATTCTCAATCCTAAAATTTGATCAACATATATTTAATTTTTTAATTAAAAAAATTCTAACAATTTTTGTTAGAAAATCTGCAATATCAGTCCGAAGCCTTGATGAAAAAAATTAAATATATTTTTAAAATCACCAATTGATGCCTTTCTATAAAAAAACCTACACATCCTGCTTGAAGTCACAACAGCTTAGCTCTAGCTAATTGTAATGAGAAACTATCATCCTCCATTATGCGTAGGATTAGGGGAATAAATAAAAATATTTAACATGCCAACATGATAAGCATCATCATAACAAAACATAAAAAAATTGCAGTATGGATATAATTAATATACGTGACATGTTATGTAAAAAGATAAGCATGGGCGTTGTTAAAAGATCTAAAAAGAATAATATTATGAGACATTATCATAAAAATTATATGTTATATAATTAAAACATGCTTTAATAAAATGGACGCATCATGCATGTCATAAGATGATGTGGATAACAAAATTGAAATCTCCGGCCTCTGAATGCAAAATTGACAAAAGAGAAAGAAAAATGTATAATAAAAGGAAAAAAAAACTGAAAATAATGATGAGAGAGAAGTAAAATCCACAGGAAAAAAAAAGATGAAATAAATAATAATTATAATAATTAATAATCTGTTTAATAAATAAGATCACAACTCTTTATACATAGAACAAAAACTTAAAAATACTTTCTTAATAATAAGAAAACATTTTTGGAATTACTTAACACAGCTTAATTATATCAATTCTTCCTAAAAAAACAGTACATGCATTTCAGCAGCTTTCCCCGTCGCCCTCTATTCCCTCAGTCCCTCACACACCCGGCCTGCCTCGCCCTTGCGATGCTTTCTCCCATGGGACCACAAACACCCTCGCCCGCACCACGGACCCATTCCCAAGCTTAAACCCCGGCGCCACCGAAAACCCAACCACTGCACCCTCTGGCACCGTCCTCCCTCCGGCGAACCTTACAACACTCTCCATATACTCGCCATGAAACTGCGCTCCTTTACTTGCCTCAAAATGACTCGGTGCTGGATCCAGCGCGAAGGCCAAAAGATGCAGCAACCAGACAGCTTTAGCTACCCTCAGGAACTCGCCGTAAAACCCCGTTCTTGGATGTCCGCCGGCGATCACCGCCCGCCGTTGCTCCAACCCGCCGAACAACGACTCCTCCATCTTGGGATGCAACACGGACAAATACTTCTTGCCGGCGAATCGGCCGAACTGGCAAGTGGGGAGAATCCCGAGCAGCTCGGCAGGTTCCATGGCGCGCATGTCGCGGAATTGGGAGAAGCAGTCTCGCCGGAACTCGGACGGCCGGAGAAGTGAGGTTAGCGAGCCTTCGAGGTAGAAGGTTTCGTTCTCGAATCCATGGAAGAGTTTTCGGTTCACGTATGATTCAAGCGCGTGCCGCGCGTGCCGCGGTTCGACGTCGGGGATGTAAGTTGGTGGCGGGTAGTCTCCAGTCGGCGACTCTTCGCCGCCGTCGATGATTGATCGGGCCGCCGCTGCGAGGTCCCATCGGGCTGCCCGCATCAGGGAGAGGAGGTGAGCAGTGAAGGATTTGGAGGCGGATTTTACCAGATCCATGCAGGACTCGAATAGCTCCGGCGTTGGTGCCGCCGGCGATCCTGATGTTATTGAAGATGATGGTCATTAGATATACTTACTTGATTTTTGCCACCATTGAACGAAATATTAAAGTTTTGCTTATATTTTAATTAAAAAATGATCAAAATTTATTCAAATATTTATTCGTTTTAAAGCTTGACTCATAAAATATTTCACTGAGATTGCCGAATTAAATAATCTAACCCATGAAAAAATATTCATTGAAAAGGACAAAAGCATTAATTACTGCTGTTTTATTATTGTCTTTTATTAAATATAAAACAGAAATTTTAAGTGATAGTTATGCACATATGAAAGTACGGAATGGCGCTAATTAATTGGAAAAAAATAATTGACCTAATCCGCTGATGCATCCGACCCTCTTGGTCGAATGGGTTCGCCCTGCTCGTCCGCTTCCCATCAGCCTCTCCTTGAGATTCGCAATCTCCGCCTCCTTAACCTTGATCTCTCGCCGGAGGTCCTCTAGTGCCGCCTCGTACGGCGCAACAACCTCCCTAATCGGCGCTCTTCCGCCGCCGCCTCCGCCGCTGGGTCCGGCACCGACGCCGACACCCCTTCGAAAGCGATCCCGTAGTCGTACGAGCTTCCTCAACTCCGCAACCACTCCGGCGTCGGCGACACGGATCCTATCAGGATCCCACGGGCAGTGCGCCTCCTGGAGACCCACGTACGCCTTCTTGACGGCAGAGACGACATTAAAAACCTCGATCATGAAGGCCTCCGTCTCTCCCAGTTTCTCCAATAGCCCCATAGAGGCGCCTCGATGCTCCTCTTCTTCTTCTTCTTCTTCTTGCTCTTCCCAGATCCCAAGCCGTTTGTCCGAATCGATTTCTTCTCTCTGCTCGTCATCGTCGTCGCCGTTGATGAATCGGCGGGTGGCGGCGCCGGCGATGGGTTGGGTGAGGCAGGAGGAGGCGACGCGGTGTATGATGTCGGAGATATTGCAGACGCGGTCGGCCATTTCGCTCTTCCTCTGCTCGATTTCCTCTTTCCTGCGCAGAATTTGTTTTCAATCGGTTAAACCCTTCTATTTGCTCTTGTAACGGCCCAGCGAGGCTGGTGGATGGCATTCGATACGGTTACCCTGTGGTAAGGATAACGGCGACTTTTCAGTGAAGCTTGAGCTTGGAGGCCACATGATCTCCAATTCTGGAGGTACGCCTGCTCTGGCTTCGGTCACCGGTACCGATAAGGGTTTTTTTTTTCTACGAAGAAAAAATTAAAAGGAAACGGAGGTGACCTGTTCCGGTCCTCGAGCCGTAGAGTGAAGCTGGTGGGGCTCCTCCATTGTTTATCTTTGCAGCGAGGCATGTGGAAGCGTAGATCTCGGCCGTCAGTTGCTCTAGCTGCCATAGTCATCTTCCGCTCCTTCTTTCTGGAAACCAGCACGATGGGAGGAATTCAAGAAATGATTAAATAATTATTTTAAAATATTATGGTTATAATACTAATAATAATTTAAAAATTATATTTTTTTTTCACAACATTTTTTGCAAAAAAATTGCTGTCGCCATAGATATATTTAACTTCTTCTCATTGATTCAAATGTGCATCATATATGTTCATTGTCAAATATTAAATGAGGACAAATAACAGATAAGTTATTGTAATAATCAGCATCGCATGGAGTCATGATGCATGGTTCTAATTGGAAGTTCCATCTGTTAAAAATAACAATGAAGAAGTTTTAGTTATTTCAAAAGGGTATTAATCAAATTAAGGGGGGCCAATCCTTCAACTTATTGTGCTATTTTATCGCCACGTTAATATGAAGAATAATGTGATATCCAATTACTTTTTTATTTTTTTAATATCGGAGATGATTTTCATTTATAAAAAAAAATAAAACACCTAAAAATTATTCAAGAGTATTTTGAAATAATGAACTGAGTTTACTAAAAAATATTAAAAATATGATCAAATAAGTTTTTTTTTTTTAAATAAAAATAGAAATAATCCCAAGCTAAGTCCTATAAAATCAAAGAAAACCACCTTCTTCTTCATATTTCACTTTCAGGTTCATCATCTCCTAATGAAATTACAAATATTTTTTTAATGGCAGTGCTGATTTGAAAATAAAAAACTTTTGAATTAGTTGGGGTTTAAATATGTGAAATATAAATTTGCTCTAATTGATCTCGCTTAATTCGAAGGTAGTAATGTGTTAGAAATTAGAAATAGCTTTAAATTTCATTAGCATGCACGAAACCCCAATTAATCACAGAACCAGCTTGGTGTGAAATTAATATTTCTTTATTGAAATACCGCATAGATCGATCACCTGTGGATGAGGCCCTGTAGGTTTAAGCAGAAACGTGGAAACATATCTCCAGCGACTAAACCAGCAGAAGAGAGAGAGAGAGAGAGAGAGAGAGAGAGAGAGAGCGCGCGCGCGCGAGAGAGAGAGAGAGCGAGTGAGAGAAACGATGAAGACCAACCTTTATTTTATAATAGCTAGCTGATTAATAACATCAGAGTACTTTTTAAAAATTTGGGCAAAGCCCTTCTATTAATCAGAATAAAACTTACAAGTAAAAGAAATTGCTAAAGCCATTAAGGCTGGCTTAAAGAAGCTCAAAATTAAAGAGAAAATACAAGTAAATGGCTAACCAAAAGCCATCAGAAGGGAAAACAGATAAACAGTAAAAAAAAAGACTGTGAGAGAAAACCCCCGGAATCACCCCACCAAAACCGCATGAGAGGCGCCCCAGCAAAACACCTGCAAAATACAAAGAAGGGTAGTGAAGAACCCGTGCAGCAAAAATAGATCAAGGTAGCAGCCAACCAAGAGCATATCTGAATCGCAAGCTCCTAATCCCTGAGAGTCTGGACTCAGAAAATAGATTATAATTCGAGAAGATTTGCATTCCCTGGTTGCCCACTGGCCGTCCAAGGGAGCAATCGTAGCCGCAGCAAGGAGCATCATCATTGTCCAGACCGCCATCTGAAACAGCAATTTATAACATTTCCAGCAAGCCAAAAGAGTTTTTCCATTTAAGCACCTTCTCAAACACCACTTTCTTAATCGACAGAGATAGGGAAACAGAGCTAAGGGAATTCCCTCAAAATTTTTAATATGATTTAATAAATAATAGAATTATATTAATATCTCACTATTATTCAATATTTTTAATAATAAATATTTAATTTGTGCCCACTACAATTATTTAAATTAATATTTTTATTTCATAAAAAAAAATCTAACTTGATATTTGTGAAGATGATAAATTATTATATAATGCTTAGCCTTCTAAGAGCCAACGTCGGCTTTGCATGCACATGTTATTTACTATTTAGTGTGCAAGCAGGCAACTATAGATGGAGATGGAGAGCAATAATATTTCTTGAAGATTTTAATTTTTATTGTGATTAAGCGACGTTGTAGATTAAATTAAAATTAAAAAATGAACGATCAAGATTTGCTAAAAGTGGAATCCCAAGCCACTTTTATATAGTAGTATAGATATAGATTTGTGAGGAATACGAATTATATTTTTACCTAGATAAATTCCGTCGTGGACTAGAATTTCCCCTTTCTAATTAGATGATGGCCATCCTTGATAGCTATGGGCTAGTATTTGCCCATATTACATGGTTAATTTGGCTCAGAGTTTGATAAAATTTGAATCGAGATGGTCATAATTTTAATTTTTAAAGCTTTCAATTCAAGCATGCATTGAGATTCATGTTCGATCAAGCCTAATTTTGATGAATCATCAATAACAAATACGACAATTTAATACATATGACCAATGAAAGCTTCTCTAGCTCTCATTATAAATGTTTTTAGGAAATAATTAAACCCATCAACCCCTTTGATAAAATCATATTTTCAAAATTAGGATCAACATCAGAGCCCTTAATGGGGTCCTAGTTGGGTACCCACACTTTGTGTTGGCAGTTTTTGCTCTCCCAAGCCCACTTAAGGCGACTTTCGGGATGTCATACCCACCCACACCCACTCACTTTCCACGCTTCTTGAATGCAGTTTGCCACGGATTAATGACCTTGAGGTTTTTGTTGTTCTTTTCTCTGACTGAAAACTTTCAAGCAACATATCAAAATTTATCGTGGTCCCAGCACAGTTCAATGTTGCACACTACGTAGTAAGGATTACTGTAATATACTGCATGCATATGGTGATTAGTAATGTAAATCGATTTGTCATTTGATATTGAGTACTCACCCATACGTACCCATCCACGAAGTTATGGGCGTACCCATATCCACCCATGCCCATTGGGTATGGGTGGGTATGGGTATCCAATGCAGGGCTCTGATCAACATGTTATCCACACAAAAGTAAAGTGACAATTCAAAAAGAGATTATTCTGTGTGGTGTCTGAAAGCTTTAGGAGGTCAATTCAGACGTGCCATGTCATTCAATACACCATATATAGGGTGATGTGGCGCATCCAAATGACGTGTTCGGATATTACACATAATAATTTTCCCAATTCTAGACATCGCAGTATCACCGTATGAGGACAAATGTGCCAAACATATTTTCCAAAACAATAGCAACGATCTCTTCTAAATTAGACGCACCGATATTCAAATTCATGCACTCGTACGCCCCATTTGCCATCTTTTCCTGCGTCCTCTTCTTAATTGGCACTAATCTAAGATTGCAAAGATTCCTTTACCAATAATTACGAGAGAATGCGCCTGTAAATAATCTTGCGAGACAAAATATCTGTAGAGAAGGAAGAAACTACTGGAGAAAAGACACCGACGGCCAAACCACCCTGCAACTTATAGTTTTACGAGACATGTGACCCAACGTCAAGTACTCGTTCGTCATAACGCTATGTACTAGTACTATGGCTGATGCTTTTAAATCTATATGTATATAATATTAATTAAATATGTGATACCTTATTTTTGTTATCTTTTTAAAGTTTTATTATAGCGTCTCTTAAAACATGTTAATTAATATAATTTTGAATGAGCGAAAAATAAAAATTCATAACATTTGCTACGTACAAATTATTGAAGATAAAAGAACAAAACATTGAAGAAGGATACTTTAATATATTTGATTTAAGATAATCATAACTAAATTTTGATTAAATATTCTAACTCAAATTTTCTTTTAAATATTTTAAAATTTTGATCATTACATTTTTACAGAGATAAGGCCCATTAAAAAAAAAAAAAACAACAACTTAGTATCATGCATAAATTTTTGCTTTTAAGTAGATGATAAATCAAAATGAATCACACTAGTTATAATAAAATTTACTATTTTAGCCTACTAAGATAATCTACTCAAATGCAATGCAAATAAGTGTTCATCAAGGAAGAATTCATTATTGTTACATTCATGCAATATAGATTATTCAAATTTAAGTCTTGAATGATGATCAACAACTTAATTCTCAATACCCTTCATATAATGGATTTCTACATTAAATTATTATAACAAAAGTATCCACCTCACCAATCTTGGCTTGCCATCCTTTTTTGTCATAAGATATTTGATTGTATAATGATCTGCATAAACCATAACCATAATGCAAGTCAAGAAGAATCTAAATATGTCAAAAGTAGTAAAAGCACTTTTTTAATAGTATAATTACATTGAGCAGCATTTAAAATTCTACTAGCATAAAATATAACATAAAACTTCTTGTCTTTCTTTTAACCTAAAACAACTCAAACAACATAATCACTAACATCATACATCAACTCAAAATGTATCGTCCAGATAGGAGTAAAAATAATAGGTTCAGTGATTAAATGTTATTTCAAAATTTTAATGACATTATGACATAAATTATCATTTCCAATAAATAGCACAAAGGTTTTTTGATTTTGGAAAAATTCTTAATAAATATCTTATAAAATTCAGCATGTCCTAAAAAACTTCTAATGTCTTTTATTGAAGTAACAGGTCACAAATTTTTAATGACTTGAACCTTAGCCTTATCAACCTTTATTCCCTTCTCTATAATCTTATGTCCTAAAACGATCCTCACAACCACCATAAATTAAACCTTTTTCTAATTCAACATCAGATTTATTTCAATGCCCTCTATTAAATTTGAAAAAAAAGATATCATGCAACGCTAAAAAATTACAAGGCCTTATAAAGCACAAAAGACATCCTTCTAAAGCCAAATGTCCCATAGGGACTGGTGAAGGTGGTTTTGTCATGATCCTCAATTGCTATAGGAATTTGGTGATACCCTAAATATGTATCCATGAAATAATAAAAAGAATATCCCGCCTATCTATCTAATTTCTGATCAATAAATGATAAGGGAAAATGATCTTTCTTGGTGGCCTTATTCAACTTCCTATAATCAATGCATATTCGCCATTAGTGACTATCATCGAAGTAATTAATCAACTCATTATATATACTAATTGGACACTATAGTTAGGCCACCTCTCTTAGGAACACATTGGATAGAACTCACCAAGGTACTATATAAAATTAGGTATATATTTCCTTCATTAAGCCCCTTAAGGATTTCTTCCTTAACTATCTCTTTCATGGTTGGGTTCAATCTTCTTTGGGGATCAGCTTTTGGGAGGAATTAAGCTCTTTTTCCATCAAGATCTTACACATGCATAAAGATGGACTAACTCCCTTAATATCTATAATTGTCTACTCAAAAGCATATGCACTCTTAGATATCTGTCGAGCTTGTAAGAGTTTGAAGTAAACTTTACACCCTACTATAATTATTTTTTATCCATAGATCCCAAAATATTAATCATCATATGTCAAGGCATGATAGTTTTCTGTTCCAACTCTCCTAATTATTCCATAATTCCTTCGTCGAGGCAATGAATCACACAATGTTTTGAATTAGAGCATGATCATTGAAATAAACTAATGAAGTACAAGAGTAATTAGAAACAACAATCAATAATTTAAGTTCAATAATCTACTAAGTAACATACACTATCTCGCATTATAAATCCAAAACAAGAAGTTTAGCCAGCCATAGAATAAAATTCACACAAAACATATTTCATTTGCAAAAAAATAACAAGATACAAGAGTAAGTGGTGCAAGATATCACCCAAAATCACTTTCATAAGCTCTAACAAGCACTGAATGTCTTCTTGAATGACTTCCTTGAACCACAAACTCTCCTCCTACTTTTCTCACACTCACACATTGTTTTGTTTACACAATAGATGACCAACCCTTACAAATTTGAAGTGGAAACTATTTATATTTTGTAGAAAACTGACATCGGCATCGCGACGCTCGAAAGTATGGCGCTGTGATACTTAACAAATGAACTAGTGCCTAGACGCTCGATGCTGGGCTTTAATGAGACGTTGGGCTTTAATGCGATGGTGGGCTTGATTGGCATGACGCTTCAATAATGAATTAACCACTTTAACGTATTTGTTGCGACGTTGCAGATGATTCGGCACCGCGACAACAACATGACACGGTGATGTTGAAAAAAAAAAAATAGTGCTGCAACACTCCATGTCGTTGGGGTGCTTCAGATGCTAGGATGCTTAAGATGTAGAAGCAGGGGAGCTGAATTAATTACAAAATGACAGAACCAAATGACGCCCCGGTGTTCCCAGAATGGCGTCGGGGCATTGATGGCGCTGCGACGTAATCTGTCAGAGCACCATTGCGCAAGATCCAAATTCTTATTTAATGGCATTTTTCCTGAATTTATATATATATATATATATATATATTCATAACAAATTTTTAAAAAATTTCCTCAATAATTTTATAACATATTTTACAAAAAAATTATAGCCATCTAAGAAAGATCCTAAATCAAAGTAATATCAAAGACCAAGAATTTGTTTGAAGGAGCATAGTTTTTGTGTTTTTATATTTGCTTAAAAAACTTCTCTTAGTCATAATTTTAAAAATATTTTTCCAAAAATCATTTTTTGAAAGATAAAAGAATAAAATAGAGATTAAAAATTATCTTTCAAATAAATATTATTTTCTTACTAGTACCACAAAAGAAGTAGAAAAAATTTTCTAATGGCTGGCGTTTCTCGCCGTGGTGGCGCCGTCTGCTTCGTTCATACGGGGAAGTTCCTCTCTCTCTGGTGGATCTTGATTTTGAGTTTCTCTTTGGTGTTTCCTTTTATTTCTGTCTGGCGTTGCCGGCATGCCGCCGAAGCTCAGTGACCCTGGTTTTTTAGGGGTTTCTTCTTCTTCTCGTTCGTTTTTAGATGTCCTTGAGGGAAAGTCTGATGAACCCATTTTTCCGGAGCTTAGGGTTTCCTCTTTTCGTGGTATACCCTCTCTTTGGATTTCGGAACACGAAATTTCTGCGCTTGCTGCGCCTTTTCAGTTCTCTCTGGTAGGATTTTTCCCATCTAAGCGTTCTTCCTTGGACTCTATTCGACGGTTTTTCTTTAATCTAAAGTTGAATGGTGAATTTTCCGTTACTTTGCTGGACCTGTCTCATATTCTCATTAAGCTCAACAACGATCTTGATTATTGTCGGGTTTTTTTGTCATGGATCTTACTTAGCTTACAACTGCTTTATGAAACTTACCAAATGGTCGCCCTTTGTGGATATTGGGGTCGAGTCGCCGGTTGTCCCCATTTGGGTGATATTGGGGTCGAGTCGCCGGTTGTCCCCATTTGGCCCCCCCCCCCCCCCCCATCTCTTCTCTCATTGCATTCTTCATGGCTTGGGTTTGATTTTTGGAAAGCCTCTAAAAATTGATACTACTACTTCAATTGGATCTAGGCCGTTCCTTGCTCGTGTGTTGGTGGAATTAGATGTCACTAAATTATATCCCAATCGTGTCTGGTTAGGCCCTGAAGCTACTAGATATTTGCAGCATGTTGTCTTGGAGGATTTCCCTCCCTTTTGTTCTCCGTGTAAAAAATTTGGGCATTTTTCTAATAATTGTAAACATGGGGTTGACTTTTTGGTGCCTCCTAAGGTTGCTAATAAGGTTGTTATTAATTCTGAACAGATTATCTCTTCTTCTCTTGTTGAGGCTGATCCAGTGCTCTCTGTGAACCCATTTCTTCGCCTATTGCTTTGTGTGTGGAGCCTGTGGTTTAGTTAGTCAATGTGGATTCCCTTCCGTCTATTTTAGCTGTTGAAAATGTGGTTATTGATGTGGATAATGATGAGAATATTTCGGGTGGTAAGATTAATGTTGTTGATGATGTTGATGTTTTGTCCCCTAACGCTTTACATTTTGTCCCTCAAGATTTTAATTTGGCCACTTTAGATCCTATTGCTGCCTCCCCTCAGCCTTGTTTTAGTGCTGATGGTCATGTTTGTGCTGGTCCCTTGTTGTCGGTGGTGTCTGCCCCAACTGTTTTGGGTGATATTTCTTTAAATCATGTTGTTTTGGATTGCCCGACTAAGTCTGCTCTTCCTTCTGAGAATTTGGGTGTGGGTGGTGGTGAGGTTTCTGCTACCTCCAGCTTGCCTCCTGTTGTGAACGATTGTTTAGTTAGTAACAACTTTGTGGATGTATCTGTTATGTTAATTGATCCTCCAAGCTTAGTGTATAATGTGGGGGACAATTCGAGATTGGATGCTCGTGTTCAATTGGATTGGCTTCAGGGTGCGTCCGATTCAGATTCAGATTTTGTTTCTTTGGAATCGTCTGGGATGAGGTTGCTGGCAATTCTTTTTCAGTGTTGCGTGATTTACCTCTTTTTTCTGGTGCCTCTCGTGGTAGAGCTCGTGGGAGGGGCAGACGTGGTCGGGGTTGATTAACTTGCTGGTGCTGCCTTCTTGGTTTATTTGGAAGGCCTTTTGGTTGGGTTGTCATGTTTTCTGTTCTTTGGGCTGCTTGGAAGATCTTGTTGATGCTCTGTGCCTTCGTGTTGACACTTTCAGTGGGTTTAATTTTTGGAGAACTATGTTTTTTGTTTTTGTGGTTGTTTGTTGAGCCGGACAATGATGTGGCTGGTGCTCGCTTCTCACTTAGTATGGCTCGTGGCAACCTTTGGTGTTGTTCTCATCGGGATGGCTGATTCGCGTTTGTTTCCACAAAATTGGACGGTCCGAGCTGTCTTTTGGGAAGCTGGGAGTCTCGGCCTTCTGCTGAGCCCACGGGCTTGTCATTTTACTCATGTTTTTGCATTTGCTTCATGATTATTGTAATCGCTCTTTTGATCTAATATATTATTCTGTTTTGTAAAAAAAAAAAAGTAGAAAAATTTTCCAAACAAAGCCCAAGAAATTGCCTACTTTCTTGCTTAAATTGTCCGCCAACTCTGTTCAATCGCCGCCCGCGACTATCAGACAATCTTAACCTAATTTTCTCATCATCGCGCTGCGGAAAAAAAAAAAACAAAAAAACTCTTTAATAATAACATCAATCTAATATTCTAATCCCACAACAACAGTGATCGGAGCCAAAATTCAAGGTCTTAAACCAGCTTGTTAATTTAACTGCACGAGATCGAGAGAGAGGAGCGAAAGAAGGAAGATGGCAAGGCCGGAAAGAAGCGATGTCCATCTCCCGCCGGAGGAGGCGAAGATAATAGAGGAAGAGACGCGGCGATACTTCGAGGAGATGATCCCCAAACGCCACCCCAAACCTGCACGCAGTGATCCCGACGGCTTTGCCCGTGATCTAGGGCAGTCCGATGGGGATTCAACTCCTCCAGAGCTCCAGAAGCTCCAAGAGCTCAACGCCGAGCAACAGGTGAGTCGCTTCACCATCCCATCATTGATTAGTCTTCTCCTATTTGTTAAAGCGACAGCGTTTGATGATTTCTCATTTAATTGGAGTTTGCGGCTTAGGGCAACGCCATTGGCTTTTTGTTATTTTGGCCTTTGCTGCCTTTTTCATGACGAGACTTTGGTTTGCAGGCGCTTGTCTGTGAAGGGTACGAGGCTGTGGAGGAGTATGTGGAGACGGGCTATTACTCGGGGCTCCACTGCATTAACAAGCAGCATCACACGGTAGGCCACTGAAATCGATTAAACAAATTTTTTGGGTGTCCCTTCCTATTGTAATTCTCTGGTTATAATGCTTGATCAACTTCTAGGGCTGTTCGGCGACAAGTAGGATTTGGGGAATTCGGTAGCAGATTTAATAACTTGTAGATCTAAACTATTTGACATGATTCTTTAAAATCTCGCTACATCATTAAATCGTAATAACAGCTTGGATATTTGTTGAGAGGAACATAAATGAAATTTAATCAATTACAAGGCTGAAAATAGATCTATCAAAATAGTAGATCATTTTACAGTTCCCAAAATTCTTAGCTTGATTTAAACAAAATACTACTTAAATTCTGGACACCAAAAATTATTTAAGCAAGATTTAGCTTAAATTGAGCTAAATAAAATTTTGAATATTTTAAATACTACTATTTTAATAAATCTCATTTCAGACCCATTATTAATTTAAATTTTGGCTGAAAATAGATCTATCAAAATAGTAGATCATTTTACAGTTCCCAAAATTCTTAGCTTGATTTAAACAAAATCCTACTTAAAATTCTATCCCAATAGGACGCCAAAAATTATTTAAGCAAGATTTAGCTTAAATTGAGCCAAATAAAATTTTGAATATTTTAAATACTACTATTTTGATGAATCTCATTTCAGACCCATTATTAATTTAAATTTTGGATTTTAATATTCCATTATTTACATGATTTATTAGATTTAAGAATTATTTACTCACATAGATTTTAAACCCTGAAATAAATAGCTAACAAATTTTGGAATTTTTTTTTTATACCTTAAAATTATTATGTATTTGCATATCTTCAACCTAAATATTAATATTTTTTACTAGGACCCAAAATTTTAAATCAGATTAAAAATATCACTATATTAATTTTCTTAAAATGAAATATATATTTTCATGCATATATTTTGAAATGACTATGACACTTAAGTATTTTATATAATTAACATAAAAAATTAGGTATTTGATATATAAATATATAAGAATTATGTAATCTGCATGTAAATCTCTTTGTCAAATTTTAATAAGATTTAATAATTGTCATGCCAATCAGTTTTTGTGTCGTAATCATGTCTAAAGATTTAACAAATCTAAATTTACAGAATTCAATAAATTACGATTGAATTAAATTCTTACTTGTGGCAAAATGGTCTTTTGTCTACTGTAAATTTTACTACTCCAATGGGGTCTCTTTGAATATTGACAACGATGAATTTAGGCCAATTAAGACAAACTCTTACACACATCACATACGCAAACTTTGAACCCAATACCTCTTGATTGATAGTCAAAGCTCCGAACCAACCAACAGACCAAGGCAAACTCATTACGATGAGTCATTTTGGATATAGAATCAAGATTGTTTGGGGGGGAACTCATACACACATCACATACGTAAACTTCGAATTCAAAACCTATTGGTTGATAGTCAAAGCTTTGAACAAACAGACCAAGGTGACCTCCATAGAATTAAGTTGTTAAATACCAAGTTCAGTTTTAAGGGACTTTTCATTAAATTTGTTCTTCGACAATCCTAGCTACTAATTGGATTCTCGTCCTCTTCCAAACAGCTTTTCTCTTTCTACTCAATGCACTAATCTTATCTTAAGATTATGAACTCCCAACAAACATGGAGCATCTTCCGATTTATGCTCTCCTTTGCTGTCTAGTGGCCTCCTCTGGTTGGCATTTAACATGCAGCCAAAAAAAAGCTCTGTTCTGCTCCAGGTATGCTACTGCAGTTTGTGATATATGGGCCATGCTATTGTAGGATTGAGTGCTACTTCCAATTCCCTAAAACAGGATCCTGGAACTTTTTTCTTATTAGGTTACTGCTAATTTAGTTTGTAAAAATTTTAGAAGTTGTCAAAATTTTGAGTTTGAATTCCACTGATGTCAAATTTATGTCTTGGAAATCAAAATTATCAAGCTAATATTCGACTTGTTTAAAAGAAAAAAAATCTTACACTAGTATAAGAAACTAATATGCGATGCAAATAATTTAATTTTTAGTTATTTATATAATGTATTAAATATTACGAAGAGTGAAAGATACATATATAAGTTAGCCCAGCAAAGATATATCAAAAGTAATAATTTATTTCAAGTGAAGTGTATTAAGGATGAAGATAAAAAATGTTTTTCTTAGAAGAGGATATTCAACATAGTTGAAGAGATATTTTTATAAGGTTTTGAATGAAGATTTTGATAATACGATTGACTTTAATGATCTTAGCATCCTGAATGAAAATAGAGATTTTTGTTTTTATCGTCGTATTAGTAGAATCGAAGTTGGAGAAATTTTTAAGAAAATGAAATGTAGAAAAATAATAGCGCCTGATGATATTCCAATATATGTGTGGAAATGCTTAGGAGTTTAAGGAATATCTTGGTTGACTAAACTTTTTAATATTATTTTGAAAACAAAAATGATTTCAAATGAGTGGAGGAGTACATTGGTTCATATTTTTAAGAATAAAGGTGATGCACAAGAATGTGTGAATTATAAAAGAATTAAATTAATGTGTCATGCATTAAAATTATGGGAGAGAGTAACTGAGTATAAGTTATGATGTCATACTAAATTAATGTCTCATGCATTCATGTTGGGTAGGTCTACTATGGAAACTACATTTATTGAGAGATTTAATGGAGAAGTATAGAGAAAGTAAGGAGATATATATATGAGATTTATTGATTTAAAAAAAAAAAAATATATGATAAAGTTTTAAGAGAAGTGTTGCAAAGAGTTCTAGAAAAAAAAGAGTTAATAATACTTATATTCAACTCATTAAGGATATGTGTTTAGGACTTGTTACATGTGTTCAAACACAAGATGGTTTGACCAAGTATTTTCCTATTTCAATTGGATTATATCAAAGATCAGCTTCAAGCCGACATCTTTTTGCTTTAGTCATGGATGTTCTTGCTAAAAAGTTGCAAGAGGATGTAACTTGGTGTATATTTTTGCTGATGATGTTCTTCTTGTTGTTAAGACTAGAGAGGGAGTTGATGAAAAGCTTGAATTATGGAGGTCAACCTTAGAGTCTAAATGTTTCAATTTGAGTAGATCTAAAACCTAATACATATAGTGCAATTTTAGTAATAATAGATCTAGTGGTGGGATTGTGACATTAGGAGATCAAGTCATTAAAAAAAATGCATGTTTTAGATATTTCGGGTCTATTGTTCAAAACGTTGGTGAAATAGATGATAATATTATTAGTAGAATTAAAATTGGATGGATGAAGTGGCGTAATGCATCTGGCATGTTGAATGATAGATAAGTACCCCTCTTAACTGAAGGGAAATTTTTTAAGATGCTGGTGAGACATGCAATACTTTATGGTGTAGAATGTTCGCCATTAAAAGAGAAGTATAAAATTAAGTGTTGCGAGGATGAGGATACTCGGGTGGATGAGTGGTTTTAATCTTAGAGACATAATAGAAAACGACTATATACGTAAAAAGGTTGGAGTAGATCTAGTTGCACATAAAATGTTTAGCTTCTGATGATCTTGTTAGGAGAGTAGATATATTAGATTTGACCCATGTTAAGAAAGGTAGATGTAGGCCTAAAAAGACTTAGTTAGAAAGTATTAGAAATGATCTTTTTTTTATTAGATTTAAATGAGAATTTGACTCTTAATAAGACAGAATGGAGAAAAAGAATTAATGTAGCTAACTCCATGTAGTGGGATAAAAGATTAATATTATTGTTGATATTGTTGTTGATATTGCTGTTGTTGTATCATTAAATTTTACACATGCTCTACACCACATGAACAATCCACACAACATTCATGGTGTGGTAAAGGGCTGCCGGCATGGTTTAAGGATTTCAAGGGACAAGAATTACATTGACATTATTTTCATAGTATTGTGCTTAATCCAATATTTCGGTCATTAACTGCAATTAGCAGTATCATTATTTTTTTAGTTTTATTAAGTAATTAATAAATTGGGTTGCTAGCTGCAGCTGTACATAAATTGGATCGATGCGTAAGCTTTAAATAAAAAATTTTAAAAAACTTATAAAAGTAAAAATAATTCATAAATATGCCTTAAACTATCAAATATTAACTTAATTCATCATTCAAGAAAGTAAAATGTGAAAGAAAATTCATGATAAGCACAGACTTAAAATTTATGTCATGAGGATCAAAAAATTAGGAATGGCATTTCTTTATTAGATTTAAACGAGAATTTGACTTTTAATAGGACATAATGGAGAAAAAGGATTCATGTAGCCGACCCCACGTAGTGGGATAAAGGCTTGATGTTGTTGTTGTTTTTGATCAAAAAATTAAAAGGAAGGGCTGCGAGCGGCCTACTAGGAGCAAAGAGATTTGTAATGCTATGCAACAGTGATGATGTTATTTTAATTATTGATGAATGTTTGCATGTTGCTTCTGACAAACATGAAAGCTAGCTTTGCAAAGCATGCATTGCTTAATATTAAAAGATGGCCAGTAATAGGAGTGCATGTTGTTCAACCTTTCATGTCAATCCTATTTAGTAGTCTAGTTGCCGCATTATTAAGCCTGTAACTAATTGGAAGGAGCTCTTGACATTTTTAGGCCTATGATGCATGCATTTCCTTGATTTCTTTTTTTCAGTAAGCATCCATCACATGCAATGCTTAATTACTGATTTATGATGTGATAACATCTTGCGTTTCAGCTGGTCCTGTTGTTATCATGTTGTTGGTTGTTATAAATTTATTATTTGGAGTTATGATCTTTATACATTTTTGCATCCTCATTATATTATTTTATGTATAATATAATATGCTCCAAATGTCGCAAGTCATCCCACGCCGACTCCTCTCCGCCCAGGAGCACCGCTGTCGCATCTCCCTTGCCGAGCCCGAAGTTGACCTATGCCCTACCGCCGGTCTTTTTCTGCCAAAGCCGATCCTCCCAACAAGCTGGCTTGCAATCGGTTAGTCGATTTTGAAATTCCTAATTGCAGCGGCTCTCTGAGATAGAAGCCAAGGTGGAAGATCAACGAAAAACTGCATGTTGCCGGCGGTGATTGGCTTCTTCCGCATGCTGAGGGAAGTTCTTTTCTCCTTTCGTTTTCTTTGTTACCGGAATGGCGGTTTGTCTTTCTTCGGATCCTGGTTTTCTGGATGGTTCGGCTAGGTCCCGATCATTTTTAGAAGCTTTAGCAGGATCTTCTCCTAGTAGATTTCCTGATCTTATTCGATATTCTCTTCGTGGAGTTCCTGCTCTTTTGGTGTAGGAAGAGGAGTTTTTTGCTCTTGCCGAACCATTTAAGTTTTCACTTGTTGGCTTCTTCCCTTCGCGGCGGCCTCCGCTCGCGTCGATTCAAATTTTTTTTTTCAATCTTCGTTTAAATGGCGCTTTCTCTGCGATTGTGTTGGATTCATCTCATGTTCTTATTAAGCTGGAGAATGATCTTGACTATAGTAGGGTGTTTTGTCATAGGTCTTATCTAGTTTTCAATTGCTTCATGAAGGTGTCTAAATGGTCTCCTTCCGGTGACATTGGGATGAGTCTCCCATTGTCCCGATCTGGATCTCATTCCCTAATTTGCGTCCCCATTTTTTCTCTCCTAGTATCTTGCATGGATTGGGGCTTCTCTTTGGTAATCCGCTGAAGGTGGACAATGCCACTGTGATGGGGTCTTGCCCGTCTGTTGCCCGTGTGCTGGTGGAAATTGATATCACGAAGAAATTTTCGGACAAGATTTGGTTAGGTCCAGACTCCAGAGAAACTTGGGTATTTCCAACAAGTTACTATGGAGGATTTTCCTCTTTTTTGTCTCAAATGTAAGCGTCTTGGTCATTCTTTTGGTGACTGCCGACCGAGTCTTGATGTTAGTTTGCCTGCTGCTCCTTCTTTGTCTAAATCGAATTTATAGGTTTCTAATGATATTGACATTCCTGTTGGCGAGGGGGTTGTTGGAAATTTAGGGGATACAGCTCTTATCCTTCCTAGTCCTACTATTGCTAATCTGTCTCCTATTATTTTACTGTCTATATGTCAGGATAGTTCTGTGGCTGTCTCCCCAGTTGTTTTGCCCGTTATTGGTGATGTTGGGGTTGAGTTAATTCCGTCTTGCCAATTTAAGTCTTCGATTTTCCCTGTTCCTGTTGCTGCGATTTGTTTGGTTGGCTCTCCTGTTATTTTGGACTCCCCTATCCATGCTATTAATGACTGTGCTGTGGGTGTGCCTTTTGTCGGGCAAGTGTCTTGCCCTGCTCTCTCCCCTGCAGCTACTGTGCCTGCTGATGTTGTTTCTCCTAATGTGGCTCCTACTCTTGTGGTTGTTTCTAATAGTAATTGTTGTATTAATCTTAGTGATAGTCCAATTGTTGGTGATGGTGCGGAATTGTGTGTTGATAATTTTGTTTCTTTTGTTGATAGTGGTGAGGAAACATTGGCTGTTGTTGGGCAGGAAGGTATTGTGATGCCTCTAGTGGATGTGCCAATTTCTATCATTTCAAATGCTAAAATGTTAGCCCATGTTGCTAGAGATGTTAGGTGGCAATGTGATTGGTTACATGATGACATGGCTATTGATAGTGGAGAGGACTTTATTGTTAACACCCTGGATACGGGCTCGCTCGATAATTTTGTTAGGCAACGTAAATGGAGTTCCAAGAAGAAATGATTTTCTTCTTTTGGAAGTTTTGGGATGTGGTCTTTCCTTCTCTTAGTTTGCTTTGCCACTAGTGTTTTTTATTTTATCATTTATTATAAATCTATTGATGTGGCCCTTCTTGCGGTCTTGTGTTGTATCTTTCTATCTTATTGGAATTTTTTGTTTTGGTTAAAATAATAATAATAATAATAATAATAATATGCTCCAAATATTAATTTTTATATAGATTTGTCATCATAGGTGGATCCTGGATAGGCCTGGATTATAGATTTGTTTGATTGGTTGGGTGACTCAGCTTGTTCCTCAATCCCTCTTTATTTTAATATTTTAGAGCAAAACATTTGTAAAAGGCAAAAATATGACAAAATTTTTATCAGATAAGGCCTCATAAACATCTTTAGGAATATGAATATCTTCTAATGTAATAAGGAAATTTTTGTGTGACGATGAGAAGTTGTTGAAGGATATAGAGTTGTTTATAGGGTATAAGGGAGGTGGTGAACTTACCTTATCTCCAGGAGATGGTTCAGATTCTTGGATCTGCTTTGGAGCACAGCTTGAGCTTGTACGTATGGAGTAAACCATTCCAAATCTAATGATAGCGCTGTCATTCGTTTCCCTTTTTTGGGTTTTAGGTGGATTGTTCTGAGGTGGTGGAGGAAGGTCAAGAGGTGCTAGTTCATTTTCCTCATATTCCTCAAGTTCAGTCTCCCCCTGAAGATAAGTTTTTGAAAAATAGGAATCTTATTCAGCAAAGGTAATATCAATAGAGACAAAAGGTTTTCTTGTGGGTGGATGATAACACTTATAGCCTTTTTGGGTAGCAGAATAGCCAATAAAGATGCATTTGAGTGCTATGGCTGTGAATATGAACATAGGCAGTGCATCCAAAGATTTTGGGTGCAAGATTATGATGGGTTCGAAACTCTGGGTAAAAAGAGGACAAGGTCGCCATTGGAGTTTTGAGACCTAAGGCAGTTGAAGGCAGTCAGTTTATGAGATATGCTGCAGTTAAAAGAGATTCCCCCTAATAGGATTTGGGTGTATTGTAGTGAAATAGGAAAGCTCGGATGGAGGCTAGAATGTGACCATTTTTCCTCTCTACAACCCCATTTTGTTGTGGGGTGTGAACACAGGAGGGCTCATGGATGATCCCTTCACTCTGGAAGTAGGAGGAAAGGGTTTGGTTGAAATAATCTTTGGCATTATCGGAGCGGAAACTCCTTATTTTTACCCCGAATTGATTTTTGATCTTGGAATGAAAGATGTGAACAATGGTGTTAATATCGAATTTATGTTTAAGGAGATAGATCTAAGAGACTCTAGTGCAATCATCAATGAATGACACAAACCAGCGTGCCCCAGAGATATTGGGAATTTTAGAGGGTCTCCATATATCACTATGAATAAGGTAGAAAGGAGTAGCACATCTCTCACTTTTGTTTGGGAATGAGGTTCTTTTATGTTTAGCCAACTCACAGGTTTCACAATGAAAAATTTTATTGTCTAATTTATGGAAAGATTGTGGATACATATGTTTTAGGACATCAAACGATGGGTGTCTCGGTCTATAATGATGAACCCAAATAGTGGAGTTCCTATCGACTAGGGATAACAAAGAGCAACTCTTTTAGATTGGTTTGGTTCTTCCAGGTAGTACAATCCCGCTATCTCCTTAGCAAGTCCAATCTTCTTCCCCGATCTCTGGTTCTGAAATAAGCAATTAGTAGGGTTAAACAATGCTTGACAATTATGGTCATTGATAAGTTTTTGTATTGATATCAAGTTTGTGGATAATTGTGGTACGTGGAGCACATTTTTTAGGGTGAGGGATGAGGATAATATGATGTCTCATTGGCCAGCTACCGTGGTAAGAGAACCATCAACAGTGATGATTTTTTTGTTGCTTGGGCAAAGAGTATAGTTTATGAGGTGGGTTGGTGAGTGGGTCATATGATCTGTGGCTCCTAAATTAATGATCCATAATTTTTTTAAATGATTTCTGGAAGCACTTAAACTAATAGAAATTGAAGTCTTACCTGAGAGTGCAAGTGAAGAAGAAGAATTTGGTTTTTCAAGAGATACCAGGAGAAGTTTTAATTTAGCAATATCTTCTTTGTTGAATTCTCCAAGGCTGGACTGAGCTTCTAGTTTACTTGTAGTGTTGTTGGCATGAGATGTGCTCCTTGTTTCACCTTTTTGATTCCACTCTTTGTTGGGGGGTTTTCCATGTATCTTTCAGCATGTTTCTTTTGTGTGTCTTGACTTTTTGCAATAGCTGCACCAAAGTGAGTCTTTATCTTTGAATTTTGAAGACATAAATGTATCGCTAATTTTTGGAGTCATGGAATTTCACAACCATGACATAATTATGGAGTCTGCTTCATCCCATGCCTCAAATTTGGGATCTCCTTCTTTTGGTCCTCCTCCAAGGAGGTGATGTATTTTACCTTTCCCCTTCAAGTAAGTTTTCACAAATTGAGACCACTTCAGGTAGTTCTTCCCATTTAGACGATAGGAAGCTTGCATGCTTTGAAGGTCACCTCGTCCTTGGTGCACCATAGAATCCTCAAGGTGGTCAGTGTTTGAAGAAGAGTTAATTTCTGACATTTTTGAATTAAATAATAGTAATGAAGACTATCTATTTGATTTTTGGACAACAATGAAGGCTCCCAAAAATTTTCTAATCGACAATAAAGGTCGATTTTTTTCCTTTTTTTTTTCTCGGTTTAATTAATAGGGTCGAGCCGAGTCTTTAAGAGACTCGGATCGGGTGAGGGTACGCAAGGAGCTCCTTGCTTCTCCTGCAAGATTCCGCACGCACGCAGAGTCTCCGTCCCGGCTTCGTACTTTGGCTTCCTCTCTTGCTGTCGGCACAACTTCCTCCGCGAGATTTCTTCTGTCGGCAAAGCTACGTCTCCCGTCGGCAGAACTTCTCCCCTGAGATCGTGGCTTGAGGCTTCATCTTCCGTCGGCAAAGCTCTGTCTCGCGAGGCCTCGACTTCCGGTTCTGTCTGCTAGGCTTCGGGCTCCGTTGGCAATGCTCCGTCCCTTGAGATCAAGACTTCGGCTTTAGGCTGCGTCCGGTAAGTCTTCGTCCCGCTAAACTCTGGCTTTCGATGGTTTCCTCTTTACTTCCTTCATCGCTTTGATACCATGTTGAAATCAAGAAGTTTGAGAGGAAAAGCTTGAATTTTATTATGCAATCTACTCCCTATTTATAGATCTATACAAGGTCTATTGATAAGGAAACAAATAACTCTATAATAATGAGAATACAATTATTCCTAAATCAATAAATCAACTATGGAAGGAATTAATGTGATCCAGGTAGTCTTCCCACGGATTACTGTTCACAACCGTGGATTTCTTTTTGGATTGTGAGGTTGAGATTTAACAAAAAATATAGGAGAGAGTAACTTTATCATAAGTTACGACATGATACTAATATTTCTCAAAATTAATTTGGATTAATGCCGGGTTGGTCGACTATGGAAACTGTACATTTATTGAGATATTTGATGGAGAAGTACAGAGAAAGTAAGGAGGATCTATATATGAGATTTATTGATTAAAAAAAAAAAAAAAAAAAAAAAAAAACATATGATAAAGTTTCAAGAGAAGTGCCTAAAGAGTTCTAGAAAAAAGAAGAGTTAATAATACTTATATTCAAGTCATTAAGGATATGTATTTAGGACTTGTTACTTGTGTTCAAACATATGATAGTTTGACCAAGTATTTTTCTATTTCAATTGGATTATATCAAGGATCATCTTTAAGCCCACATTTTTTTTTGCTTTAGTCATGGATGTTCTTACTAAAAAAGTTGCAAGAGGATGTAATTTGGTGTATACTTTTTGCTGATGATGTTCTTCTTGTTATAAGACTAGAGAGGGAGTTGATGAAAAGCTTGAATTATGGAGTTCAACCTTAAAGTCTAATTGTTTTTGTTTGAGTAGAACTAAAACCTAATACATATAGCGCAATTTTAATAGTAATAGATCTATTGTGGGATTGTGAAATTGGGTGATCTAGTCATTACAAAAAAATGCATGTTTTAGATATCTTGGGTCAATTGTTCAAAGCGATGGTGAAATAGATGAGGATATTATTAGTAGAAATCAAGTTGGATGGATGAAGTGGAGGAATGCATCTGCCTGTTGTATGATAGAAAAATAACCCTCAACTTAAGGGAAATTTTTTTAAGATGATGGTGAGACATGCAATGCTTTATGGTGTAGAATGTTGGCCATTAAAAGAGGAGCATAAAATTAAGTGTTGCAAGGATGATGATGCTTAGGTGGATGAGTGGTTTTAATCTTAGAGACATAATACAAAACAAGTTTATACGTAAAAAGGTTGGAGTAGATCTAGTGACACATAAAATGTTTACCTTCTGATGATCTTGTTAGGAGAGTGGATATATTAGATATGACCTATGTTAAAAAAGGTAGAGGTAGGCCTAAAAAACTTGGTCAGAAAGTATTAGAAATAATTTTTTTTATTAGATTTAAATGAGAATTTGACTCTTAATAAGACACAATGGAGAAAAAGAATTAATGTAGCTAACTCCATGTAGTGGGATAAAAAATTGATATTATTGTTGATATTGTTGTTGTTGTATCATTAAATTTTACACATGCCCTACACCACATGAACAATCCACACAACATTCATGGTGTGGTAAAGGGCTGCCGGCATGGTTTAAGGATTTCAAGGGACAAGAATTACATTGACATTATTTTCATAGTATTGTGCTTAATCCAATATTTCGATCATTAACTGTAATTAGCAGTATCTTATTTTTTACTTTTATTAAGTAATTAATAAATTGGATCGACGCATAAGCTTTAAATAAAAAAAAATTAAAAAACTTATAAAATTATAATAATTCATAAATATGCTTTAAACTATCAAATATTAACTTAATTCATCATTCAAGAAAGTAAAATGTGAAAAAAAAATTCACGATTAGCACCCTCTTAAATTTTTTATGTCATGAGGATCATTTCCTTGATTTTTTGATTTTTTTTCAGTTAGCATCCATCACATGCAATGCTTAATTACTGATTTATGATGTGATAACATCTTGCGTTTCAGCTGGTACTGTTGTTATCATGTTGTTGGTTGTTATAAATTTATTATTTGGAGTTATGATCTTTATACATTTTTGCATCCTCATTATATTATTTTATGTGTAATATAATATGCTCCAAATGTTAATTTTTATATAGATTTGTCATCATAGGAGTATTGGCTTAGGCCTTTATTATAGATTTGTTTGATTTGGTGACTCCGCTTGTCCTTCAATCCCTCTTTATTTTAATATTTTGTAGCAAAACATTTATAAAAGCTAAAAATATGACAAATAACTAGAATGTAGAGAGAGAAAATGCAAATTCATAAATGTCATAATCAACTAGTAATTGATGTAATAAAATATAGAGTTTAAGATAATAAACCCTGTGTTTTTTATAGTGTTCCTACTAAAAAAAGTTGTCAAATTTGCCACTGTTCGTCATCCGAATAGTATGAGAAGCATTTTCCTATCACTCTTCTCAAATCTAAAATCCCGGACTCACCCCAGGAGTTATTTGTTTGTTCTTGTGCCTACTATCAAGTAATTCCTCATCCTCCTAATCTGTTGCATCTTTGTTTCTGTAGACCGGGTCAGGCTTCATCAAGATGGAGAAACCCAAAGGCAGTAATCTGAACCTGAAATCAGTCTCTGCATTTAGCTCTCCTGCATCTTGCAGCTGTAATCCTGCAACAAATGATTGGATTCCTCAAGCTGAAACAGTAGGTGCCAGGGTTGACAATATGGTAATAGAAATATTTAATCTCTGCTGAGTTCTGTTTTTTCCTGATTAGAAGGATTCTATTTTCATTTCAGGTGATCCCAGTTTCTCACAAGCCTAACCGGAGTGAGAGTTAGTCATTCGCTCAATCTTGGGTAATGTGCTGTTCCAAGTTATTGTATTGCGATGTGAAACTTTCTTTACAGTTTGAGCTAAATAAATGTCTGCGAGGTTTTTGTTAATTTGTGTGATCAGATTCTTTGCCCTCGGTTTTCTTCATCTCTCCTGGTTTTTGGAGTGTGTGTTTATTTTTTAGAGTTCTTTTTTTAATTATATTAGAGTTTGAGTGTTTTATATAAGAGGTTGCAACCATTGACTTGAATTTTATGAGCTGTTTTTTTTTTTGGGACATTTAGGCCATTTAAGGCAAACTCACACACACAACGCATACACATGGACTTGAACCTTGGACCTCTTAGTTTGAAGCCTAAGCTCTCAACCAATAGGCCAAGGGGAGTTGTGTTTATGAGCTGTTTTCACAAACTGTTGTCTTGAAAGTGCTCAGAAAATCAGTTAAGGCACCTATTCAGGATCATAAAAATTCTATCCGACTGAGATTTTTTCATTGTTAATGTTAGATTTTTTTCCGATTTCATGCTCATCTTAACAAGAAGTTCAAAATTTTATTTGCCATAGGATTAGCAATTTTGTCAGTAGCTATGTAAGGTATGTTACAGGGTTGCCATACATGTATACTTTTTTTTTTTTCTGAAAAGAAATACTGACAATCATAATATTGTCTACTAAGTCAATATAAATATATTTCTCGTTTTGATAGTGGCAGCAGCCAGCAGGCAAAGGGCGAAGCCTCTGTCATTAGCACTATTTATATCGGGCATAGTAAAGGCTGACAGCAATGAAAAAAATTATTTTTATATGTTCAATTGACAGAACAAATTAAATTTTTTTTTTTTTGTTGGGAACGGGATATCTACCCATTGTCATCCCCAAAGGAGGTGCATGACGGTGTAATTAATCCCTCGATAGGCCTACCAACAACCAACCCCACAGGTGCAGGCTCGTACAATTATTTTCTCCCCATTTAAGAAGTCGAACCGTATGAGAGAGAAATCGATCATGAGTTGGAGAGTTTTCAATCACGCTCGCCTACCAACTTAGCTAAGCCTGATGGGTTAAATTAAAATGTAAGATTGACTATATGAAATATGCACTTTAAATGCATGCCACATATCCTCATTTCATAGTTGGGGAATTTCTTCTCTGTCTAAATTGAGAGGCAAAACATTCTCCCAATAACAGTGTATGTATGTTAACAAATCATATTTTTGACTTGTTACATCCATTTTAAAATAAATTCAAATTGAATCAAACTATCGTTAAATTTATTTTAAAATAAATACAATAACAATTTTAATTGATAAGTATCACTTTTCTCACTCATCTTAAAATAAATTCAATTGCTAGAAAATCCATCCTATTTAAATTTTGATAAAAATTTCCCTATTAAAATAAGGGCAACTCTATTTAGTCCAATCAGCAAACAAAATTATAAAATAAAGTTTGATTCAACTATTAAAGGGATCAAATAATGTGATTTTACTAGATGGAAACTATTTAGTTTCCCTACAAGAAGTGTCACTGGAACTGCTCATATTCAAAGCAATCTGCCCAAACATTTAGAAAAAGTAACAGGAAAAATAGTAAGTAAAATATGCTCACTTAAAATAAGAGTCAGAAGTATTTGATCCAAAATGGGGAAGATCAACTCCTAATGCATCTCTTGCTATCTGGTTATTGAACAACCTATATCCAAGTAAGTTGGAACCTAAGGAGGATCTTACAGAAGAACCAGATCAGATTTCTATCAGAAAAATGGAAATGGATAAACCAATTCATAGCATTTATCCTCTCAAGCAAAGGTGAAAATGATCCAAAGCTCTATTTTATATTTGCCTCGAGTAAACCATGGAATACATAGGTGAAATTTCCAGCCTTCAAGGATGATTGTGATTTGTGAGACTAGTTGAAGAAGGGTCCATGTTCAAGCACCAGGGTCAATGTCTCATCTATCAAAATATAAATCCTAGAGGATTGTTGTAGGGACAAACACCAAGCTTCAAATCAGCTTTTAAAGAACCTGTTTTCTACAGAGAATGTAGATGCGAAGTCAGATTCTCAGTATACAATCATGGCGTAGAGGCCATCTGTGCTTCTACCATAAGAGATCTCCTTCTGGAATGTAGATGAGAAGTTAGATTTTCATTATACAATCATGGCGTAGAGGTCATCTGTGCTTCAACCATATGAAATCTCCTTATAGTTTTAGGTGCGGTTCTTTCATGCAGCTTTGCACGTTGTAGATAGGTGTGAAAGGCTCTGCCGAGTAAAGAATGAGGTCTGGTCAATACGTTGTGATGTGGCTGAAAGGCTAATGAAGTGAGAAATGGTGTATGGTAGGTTGTGCAGATAATGGAGAAGAGGAATTATGTTGGGTACAAAGCTAGTTGATGATGTCTGAGAAGGTCAGGCTATTAGACATAGGCCGAGGGAAGCACGAGATAGATAAATAAAGTATTATGATCTAAAGAACCAAACAATAGAGTTTTAAATAGAAGAGTTTGTGGTTATAATTTAGCTCATTGAAGTGTGCGGGTATGTTTGGTAGAGAAGGGAAGTTGAGTCCAATGTATATTTGACCATTCGAGGTGATGTCTATAGTTGAAAAGTTTGCATACAAATAAATATAGTCACAATACATGAGTGAAATCCATGATGCATTCTATGTTTCCTTAGTAAGAGACTATGTCACAAATGTAATGAATATAACACCAAAATGAAAAAGTTGAACTCGAACCTCATATGACTTATGTAGAAGAATTGAATGCATATTGACTTATATTATGAAGCAATTAAGGAAGATCATACTCTTATGGCGAGGTACATTAGAAACATGGGTCTGAAAGAGAAGCTATGCCGGAGGATTCCATGATAAGACAACTCTATATATAAACTTATTTGATTGACTGATTCATGTATTACAATGTTAATGATAACATTTTTTCCAAGGTGGTAGGCTATAATATCCATCTAAGCAGTCTTGTGTAGTGTTACCTCCATAGTACCAATGAGTATTTTAAGCACGTATGCATGTTTGATCAATACAAAACTGTGCTAAACAAGCCATGGTATTTTTCAAAGATATTGCTCTCTAAATATGATAGTACACATGAATGTCCGAGAGTAGCGAGACAATCCGCTAAACTATGGTATAACATGATTAACCTGTGAACATATGACTGGATGTTATGGATTTATCGTACATGCATTTTACAAACTAACTTTGCTATATTATAGTACATTCAATGTTTAGTTTATGCATATTTTTTCTTGGTTTTTATGAGCACAATAAACATGGATGTATATTTTTTTATCGACTAACTTTCATTATATTTAGCATATATCCATGCAATTGAGCTTTTTGGAGCTATTTAGTATCTATTTCATGAATCCCTTTCATTAATAAAGTCGGTATAATATTTCATGGCTAATTTTTTGATAATCAACCAACGGAAGAAAAACAAGCAAGATACAATTAATCCTCAATTCAAGAGAAGGATCGATCTCTCCCAAATCTCTAGACGCTGCTAGAGCCCAAAGAAAAACCTAAATCTATGAGATCTCAATTTTTAGCCAAATTCAAGATGTCCTAACCCTAGGAAAACAAAGTATTTAATGCATAAAAAACAAAAGGAAATCCCTAAACAGTACATACATTCAAATTTCCCTCCCAAATCCCTAAAAAATCATTCCTAAAAAGCTCTATGGGCGTTGGTGGCTCACGCGACACTGCAGGAGGCGGAACTTTTCCGCCTCCGTTTCGTCGAGCCGGTCCTATCTGGACTGGCTGGACCGGTCTAACAGGTTTACATGTTGTTCCATTAAAGGGCATTTTCTTTAGACTTATTCCCATAATATTCTATGATTATGCTATTTGCTAGTGCTTATGTTGCTTTTCACATACACCGTATTTGTGATTTGCATGTTATACATTTCATAGAGCTCACACTTCTTGAGTATATTCCTACGCATTGTAAAATATTATGTTTGTGATCCTATGTAAAGTGATTATGTTTTGTATTGGCACATTTATATATGTTGGATTAAGTATATTAATTTTTGTTGCATAAATTAATTCATATAAGCTGCTTAATCATGCGTCAAGCCCTATTTAAGAGAGGGGCTTTATTTTAAATTTCTAGGGGCTTATAGATGACCTAATTTCTTAGTGGGATGTACAAAGTTGATGAATTTTTTATATTAGCTGATAGGATTGAGGTAGCAACATTAGTTTGTTTTACACCCGAGGTATTTAAGTACTATATTTGAAAATATCCCTAGTATAAGTTTATTTGGTTAGCTAAAGAAAATAAAAGAAAATTATATATACCTTACAAGAACATCAGGTTTTGTTTAATTCATTTATGTTTGTGAATATCATATATCTGACTCGATGCTTACATTCAGCCATAGTATTAAAACCAGTACTCAGTCATAAATTGTATACATATTTAGTAAAAAAAGGCCTTGTCATTAATGTTATGTCATTCATACACATTCCATTATGTACATAAGCTCGATTATAACAATTAATCAAGTCCTACAGTTGATTTATCCTCTATTTATAAGCTAACTTTCAAACATGCATATTGTTCTCCCTTCAGTGAATTGAACCCAGTTGTAAGTTTTATGCAGCCTACTGAATTTTTTGCTCACACAATTACGTATGCATGTATTATTAGTTTCAAGGAAAGGCAAGGAGCTCTAACAGTAGAATTCAATTGGCAAGTAGCCTGGGCAAGTGATTGCGAAACTGTAAATGTAATCTTTTGTAATCATGGCAAATTAGTATTTTATGTATGTATTTGTTTAAATCAAATTAATTTGATAGATGAAATTCTGATTTATTTCTTCCACATTTACTACTCTCTTATAATTATTAGTTGCTCTACAGTTACGTATATTTACTGATATGTAATCCCTTCCAAATAAGATTAGATGTTAAGGAGAATTGCATGTTTTGATTTGATGTTGAGGTTTAAATTGAATATGATTTAGGGTTCTCACGCTACAATTCTATTCGATGTGGTTCTCTATGTGCAAAGCTGCATTGGATAAAATCATGATAAGTTTAACAACATGCAGGGGATCTCCAATGGGTTATGAATAGTATATTCAACAAAAGTGAGCGATTTATTGGTATTATGGTTTATTTGAAATTGGAAACTTAAATTAAAACTCCTAGAGGAAGCTGACCATGGAACTAAATATCTAAAAATACCAAAACTTACAACATGTAATCATCACTTTTTTATGAACAAAATTTCAATTTCCAGTTTTCAATCTTTTATATTCTTGTTAGATATGTGATTCATTTGAATTGAGTAAAAGTAAGATTACCTAATTCCAGGAGAAGCGATCTCTTTTCATGATGTGTGGCCTAATAAAATAACACTTTAATTGAAAGACTAACAATTTGGTTCCTACAACTTTGTGTGTTTTCCCCTACAACATTTGGAATTGTTTATGTGTCGGTCGTTATAAGCTTTCCCTCAAGGGTTACTTGCATAGTTGCCCCATTTGTCCATCTTAACTTACAGCAGTATTATTACAAAAGATATCAACTTATGTTCATGGGTAAAACTATATATTATGCAAGTGTTTTAAATTCCTAACTTTCAAATAAAGTTTAAGTATAAACATGATTATCATCTGGTGTCATAACGGGCTGATCTTATGTGAACCATATTAAGTAAGCTAAGGACAAGAAGCCTATAAATAGATGTTCTAAGGTATGTAAATTATTATATTTTATTAAATAAAATCCCCCCTTGTTCAAAATGTTAATTTTATATATGCAAGTTGGATGTGCGAACACTTAGTGTGGTATGAATCTAATTATGGCAAAAGTCATCTTGTACTAGTGTCAAGCGTGAATTTCTTATTTTTGATGCTTTTTTAAATTTAATTTCTACTATATAACATATTATTGGCTCGCCAGTCTTCTTGATTTTGTACACATTTAACACAACTAAAATTATACTTGTACTGATAAGATTATAATTGCTTAGTGCTTTTGTGATTTCTATATTTCTTATTGATTTCTTTAAATTTATTAAATCATTATATTAATGTTTGAGTTATAATTCTAGCATTTATTATTTTTCATTTGAAGAAAGTTGTTGGCATGTTTCATGATTTATGATCCATTAATCTTAACTCTTAAGTTCTTTTGTATGATCTACATACATCGCATCATTCTAATTGCATTATGAAACTATAACACCAAATCATCCTAAATCAAACTCATATCAAAACTTATGATAACATTATGTGATCAACTAAAAGTATGATATATTAATTATGTCAATTAAAAAACTATTAAATAATAAAATTTAGTTATAATTAAGTTATAGTCCTAGAAATTACAATATAAATATGTTGAAACTTAAAATTAAATTCTTAAATTCGAGGGGAGATTTGATTTTAGAGAAGTTTTAGGGTGGATCAATGCTTTGGATCCTTTCTTTGAAAAATGCAGCCGATATGATTCCCACAGTTTAATATGCCAATCAAAACTAGTTGAACATGCTCAATCTTTTTGATAAAGTTTTACTGCTAAGCCATCATGAATTGAAATGAAATATAAATTTAAAAGGCAATACTTACATCTGGTGAACATAGGGATCAATTTCATGATAATTTTTGAGATCATAAACAAGGGATATGACATGTTCGTGTATTATGCAAGATTTATAGGTCTTGTAGTTAACTATTATATTTCCTTAGATTTTTTTAAACAATTATTTGTGCACCAAAGGTCTTAAGAGAGAAACTCAGGATAAACTAAATAATACAACAACAACAACATCAAGCTTTTATTCCATGTACTACATGGGATCGGCTATATAAATCATTCTTTTCTATTGTGTCTAATTAAGGGTCAAATTCTTATTTAATTCTAATAAGGGAAGGACATTTCTAATTTTTTCCAACCAAGTCTTTTTGGTTCTACCTCTACCTTTCTTAACATAAGACAAATCTAATACAACTACTCTTCTAACCGGGTCATCGAAAGGCCTCCGTTTTATGTGACCAAACCATCTAAGGCGACTCTCTCTAATCTTATCTTCAACTAGAACTACTCCAACCTTTTCGCATATATATTTGTTTTGTATCTTGTCTCTAAGAGTAAAGCCACTGAGCATCCTCATCTCTGCAACACATAACTTAACATTATGCTTCTCTTTTAATTTATTTATTTATTTTTATTATGCTTCTCTTTTAATGACCAACATTCTGCGCTATAAAGCATTGCAGGTCTCGCCACCATCTTATAAAATTTTTCCTTAAGTTTGCAGGGGACTTTTCTATCACACAAGAAGCCCGATGCATTCCTCCACTTCAACCATCCAACTTGAATTCTACTAATAATATTCCCATCTATTTCAACATCACTCTGAACAATAGACTCTTAAGTTTGAGGGGGATAAACTAAATAATGATTCACCAAAAATATCACATAAGTCTCTATGCATAGCTTTAGATATTGAGAAATATTAAAAACAACTCTCCCTATAAGATTATTGCACTTGTGCTTACTCCTAATGAAAACTTAATAATTACTCATCTAAAGCTTATTAAATACATGCTAACATAAGTATTATGCATGGGAAACTTGATCTAATTGAAGAAACAAATATATTATTCATTAGAGGGCATTTTAAATGTAAACAATTACTTACAATTACAATATGAATCTACTAATTATTTTGAATTTGGAAATGCAACTACATTAGACCATATTCACGATTCATGAACCTGAATCTCCACTGGATGAAGATGAAGATTCGAAATTTGAGCATTTTTTTTAGCATGAAATTAAAAATGAGCATATAATCAAATTTGAAAATGAACTTCCAATAGGATTGAGTCTATTTTTTATTGTCAAGATGAACAAATCATATTTAATGTACTTGATGAATCAACTAAGCATACTGAAAATATAACTTTTGAAGAGGTATTTATTAATATTATTCCTATGATGGATGGTCCAATTGAATTTGAATTTAATTTTTATTTCTTTAGTTTCTAGTTATATAAATTCATAAATTTATCTTAAGGGAAGAAAGAAAGTTTTGTTTTAAAAAGTTGTCCATCCATATGGACATATCATAATTATGTGGTTTGTTGTAGGCAATAATAGCATTTCATTTTGAATAAATTAATTATAGGTCATTATTAGTATTATTTATGGCATATCTTTGTTTTGTAGCATTTTATTAATTGAATTATATCATGTTCACGATTTACATGATGTGCCTAAGAATATTTGTAGGGCATGAGGTATTAATTATGATAATAATAAACTTCATGTTAATGTGAACATGAGGTATGTGAAGTTTAAACATGGCCATAGAGTTATGACGTGTTTAAACTTTCAAGGACTTTCACTAAGAGAAAGTTTAAAATATTAAATACAAGAAAGACAAATCATTTAAAATTTTGAAATGAATTGGAGCTAATGCCTATAAATTCAAAATTCTAGGAAATTAAGGCATAAATTCAATTTCCAATGTATATAATTTGATCTTATTTCATAATCCTACTATCAATTCCTTATTATTCCACATCTAATCCTCTAATGAACACTTCTAAGTAAATTGTTCCCAAGTATGGGGCAGATCCACAGTAATAGCATTGGGGCGCATGCCTCCACTGGCTCGGCCCAAAAAATAGCAATAAAAAGGGGCCAAAAAACATCAATAAAATTATCTAGTTTTTTTTATTGTTTCAAGAATCTCTACCTAACAAACCCGCTTGCATACTCCCTAGCCCATTGTGCTCCACCACTCACTTCACATGGTCAGGCGCATCTCCAAATTTACCATTGATGCTCGCCCCTCCCTTCTCTCTCTCTTGTTTCTTTTTGTCAATCCCTCAACAACATTTGATCCAAAACACTATAGAAAATGCAAAGGCTGAGGGATCAAAACTGCTACTCGATCACCATTCCTAACAAGCTTTTGAAGCCTATGCGTAAGGAAAAGTGGAGAACTCTCCTAGGCCCTAAAGAAGTAAGAGATGGCAGAGTCCCATTACATGGTGCTCACACTCTAGATTTTTCATCAATCTCCATGCCTTAGATTTCTTCGTTGAATTGAATCTTATGTAAGAGATCATTAATGATTATCATGGATTATTTAGTTTTTGGAGTTTTTTATCTTTCTTATGTAATAAGAGAAATTATCATATTATCTGAAAAGAATAAATTATGTTGAGCCTAGATAGAGAGGAAATGAAGTAAATCTTGACAAATTACAGATAACAAAAAAAAAAAAAAGCTACACTTATTTGCAACAAAATCATGACAGATTGCATGTAGCAAATCAACCACTAGTCAAATTAAGAAGACACTCGAAGAAATTCATTGCAACGAACTAAGCCCAAAAGATAAGAACAAAGAGTCCAACAAGAAACAACGAGTTAAATTCCACAAGAAAATCACTATCATTCAAACACAATTTGAGCATAAAAATAAGCAATATAAACATGTTTAAGTAAAAGGAGACAAAAATCAAGAACCCAAAGGTCAGTATCTTATTGTATACATACACATAAACCTATAATCAGAACAGCAACCATAAGAAAAAAAAAAGAGGGAAAACCCATAAACTAGCATCTTTTTATAGTGAATTCAGATCAGAAAACCTGGAGAACGGGGCGCTTTCCCAGTCGCTTGATCTCCCTATCCATGCTCCCAGTGAGCATGAGGCCGAACATCCTGAAATCGCAGAGGAGAGACCAGAAGGGGTAGCCGAAGGTTGCCGGTGGGTTGCCCTCGACAAAGAAATGGCTGTACCACGCCATCCCGTAAGCTAGAAGCGGTGCGGCCAATACGAGGGCCCACCAGCCAGAGATGGCTGCGAACAGAAAGCATAGGATGCCGGAGAGCGTGCCCATGAAGTGCCACCGACGTGTTAACGGCTTCGAGTGCTGGCTCACGTAGAACGCCCAGAACTCCTCCAGATTCCTATAATTCATACCTTTTTACACAAATCGGAAACCGCGAGCCCTAATTCGAAGACGAAGAAGAAAAAAAACCCTAGATCAAAAATTAAATTTTCGATTGAAATCGCAAGTAGAAACTGAGAAGCAAGAGCTGCAGGCTCTTTTTTCTTGCAGATGGGGGGAAGACTGAGTATAATTAATTGGAAAAATTTTTGGGTCGGCACTTGGCATATAAGATTATGTTTTTTTACATTAAAATTATAATTCTTTTTTAAATAAATTTAAAATTTTTAAAATGTATTCTAATTATTTGTTATTAAAACATTTTGATATATATATTTTTAATTAACTGAAAACATGAATGGACACCATTGAAAGCTTTATCTCACTTGGGATCACTTTTGTGTGCCTCCTTGATATTATTATTAGTTTATATAAAATAAAACTTTTTTTTTTTGGGGATTGTTTGCCCCAAGTAGAATTTACTTAAAATAGGAATTCTTAAATCATGTAAGTTTAATTTTAATAAATGTTGAGAGGAGTAAATATAATAAATTATTTAGCATGATAATTATAAAATTTTAATGTATTGTATAACTATTTATTAAGTTAAAAATATTAAAATTTAATAATATATGTAAATAAAAAAATAATATATGTGAAAATTATGAAAATGTGATTGATTTTAGTTACCTTAACATCCTAAATGAATTTTTATTTTTATTTTTATCGATGTATTAGCAAAACTAAAGTTAGAGAGGTTTTAAAGAAAATAAAGTTTGAAAAAGTTGTTGGACATCATGATATTCCAATAGAGTTGTAGAAATGCTTAGGAGATGAAGGTAATTTTTTGGCTTACTAAACTTTTTAATATTATTTTAAATACTAAAATGATCGGAGAATGAGTGAATTGATTCATATTTTTAAGAATAAAGGTGATGCACAAGATTAACTCAATTATAAAGGATTTAAGTTAATGTGTCATATTTTAAAATTATGAGAGAGAGTTATGGAGCATAGGTTGCGATGTGATCCTAATGTTTCTCAAAATTAATTTGGACTAATGTCGCGTGGGTCTACTATGGAAAGTATACATTTATTGAGAGGTTTGATGGAGAAGTATAGAGAGAATAAGGAGAATCTAAACATAATATTTATTGATTTAGAGAAGTATATGATAAAGTTCAAAGAGAAGTGCTATGAACATTTGTAGAAAAGAAAATATTTAATAATGTTTATATTTTAGTTATTAGAGATATGTATGTAGGAGTTGTTACTTGTGTCCAAACACAAGGTGGTTTGTCCAAGTATTTTTCTATTTTAGTTGGATTACATCAAGGAGCATCCTTAAGTCCATATCTTTTGCTTTAGCCATGAATGTTCTCAATAAACATTTGCAAGAGATTGATCATTATGAACAATATGATATGATATTATTGCATTTTCATCATAACTTTGCTGAAATTGGAGTTCAGATGGTCCCTCATTTAATTTCGAAAATTTTAAACTTGAATATGCCTCAAAACTTGTGCTCGATGAAGACAATTTATGATGACGTATCATGCATAACAAGTGAATGGGAATAACAAACTTTATCACGTATTTACACAATAATTAAGCATAGCTACATCGAGCTTTCTCAAACATAAGAGAGCAAGAGCCACTCCTAACCTTCATATACTTGCAAAGGTGATCATGATCTTAATACAACAACTAATTTATTTATGAGAGTAATTAATTTATGTAATCAGCAAAGTAAAAAAAAAAGGATTATTAGATAGGCACTCATTATTTTACATCAACAAGAAATATAATTTTTTTTTCGTCAATAAGAGCTCGTGCACCTGTAATGATTCACAAATCCTTAGTTTAAAGTTAAACAAATCGTTGGTGCATTACATGCAGATATTAGAAAGATATTTCATTATTACGAAAGAATGCACTACATTTATTTTACACTGTATTTATTTTACATTGCATATCTTTTTCAGACAACCAAACAGCCCCTAAGTGATTGATGTTAATTTGTCTAATAAGAAAGAGATGCGGCCCAACGAAGAAGGGCGTTGTGGGCCGAACCCAATCCGCGAATATTTAGCATATTTAACAAAATTGAAATAGCTTTTGGAGTCCGCCTCTCTAGAACCGTCTCTTCCTCCTCTACCGCCTTCACTATATATAGAACAACTATAACCCTGATATCTCAGAGCTAATTATTAGTTTATAGCCACGCATAGAATTCTACTGCAGAACAGAAAAGCGAGCGGTATCGAGACGTCTTCAAAGAAGTAGGGATTATTTCGAACGGATCAAGGTAATAAATAATACCCTTGATTTTGATCTCAGGTTTACTATTATTGTCAGCTGGATCTAGGGTTTTCCTGGTCCTAGATGTCTTATTGTTCGTATAGCCGGTTGTAACTGTTTCTTGTTTCTCGGTCTAACCTAGTTGGAATGGTGCTTGCGTGATTCTTTCCATTGATCTCGTGTTGCGATAAGAGGTTGTATGAAGTAAGTACTTAAGGATGTGTGTCAGGCTAAGGGGCTGTTTGGCAACTGGATTTACGCAGGATTTTAGCCGAATTTAGCGTAAATCCTGTCAAACAGGATTTCGACCCTGCATTATTCTCACGGCGGAATAAACTCGCCGTTACAATTTTTGCGGTAAATCCCGGATTTACGGCGCGAATGGGAGAAAATGGATACCTTCGCGACGAGCGAGTTCCCTCCCGGCGTCGTTACGTCCAATCGAAGTAAAGAACGGTGAGCTGTTGTGACTTCCGACCCGGCAGGAAGGATTCACGCCCGAAGCAGGCGAACTCGAACAGGTACGAACAGCTGTAGAAGAGAAAAAGCAACCCCTACGGCCATAGCAAATCGACGGCAATTGCATTAGCAGAGAAGTTATGATAGAAATTAATTAATTTAATTTAACTAGTTTAATTAAAATTAAAAAAAATAATGTACTTAATGATTAATTTATTATTTAGATTAATTGATAATTAATTTTAATTTTATTTATATTATTTTTATTAATTAATATATTGTTAAAATTAATTAAATAATACTTAAATAATTAATGAAATTTTTAGCAGAAGTATTAGTTAAATAATTAGTTTTTTTTCAAAATATAATGAATGAATTAATTATATATTAAATATTTATTGAATTAACTACTAAATAAGTATTGATACTTAGTATTATATTTAGTAATTAAATTAGTCTCTAATTATATTATTTAGGAAAATTTACATACATACCATTTTATTACTTCTATATTATATATTTAACATCCAAAATTTAAATATTATATTCTTACCACTCAAATGTTAATTTTACAACAGAAATACCACTCCGTCTTCACTTTTGTTTTTTCTTTTCGCATTCCGACCATTGTCCGCCTCTTCGCCGATGACCATCGTTGGCCTTCGATATCCTTGCTGGTCGCCTTTGTGCCCAATTGGAAACTGACGATGGAATTGTTGTCTCTATGGAAAGCTTGCAGTTTTGCCAAAATGGCTTTGGATGAGAAGATTTAGGAAGAAGCCTCAGAATTCAAGCCTGAGAGGTTTATGGAGGGAGGATCAGCAGAAAAAATGTATATAACTGGAAGCAGAGAGATCAATTGGCTCCTTCTTTGAACTTATTTCTCTGAAGACCGAAGTCTTTCCACCCAATGTGGTATTTAAACAATCACTATGAGTAGGGGTGTTAATATTTGACCCGACTTGAAAACGACCCGAAAATTTTGGGTTCGGGTCAACCCGAATCGAGTCCGGTTCGGGTTAGGGATTTCGACCTGTTTGTAAAGCCGGGTCGGTTTCGGATTGACCCGGAAACTCGAAATCAACCCGATTTGACTCGTTTTTAATTAATTTAGGAGGGTTTTAATGGATTTTTATGAAATAAGTAAATGATATTTCAAAAAATTATAAACATTATTGCTCAAATTAAATTAATCTTGATTTATTTTAAATTAATTGAAGTAAATCTTATCTTAATTTGATTTAGATTTAAATAAATTGAATTAAATAAAAAAATTTTATAAAATATATCCGAATCGGGTTGGTTTCGGGTTCCGGACCAGAAGCGGGTCGGGTTTGGGTTCGGAAAACCGACCCGTTTGCAAAAACGGGTCGAGTTCGGGTCAGGTTGAACAATGCCAGGTCAATTTCGGGTTGGACCTGAACCTGACCCGTGACCCGATTTTGACAGCCCTAACCATAAGTGCTACAAAAGGGATTTTGATCAACTCCGCCATTTAAGACATTATTGTCCACACATGCAGCGGAATTCATCGTAATTCCACTATCTAAAGTTTCTTTGTACACCTCCATTTCACGGTTTCCACTTACAGTTCCGAAAATTTGAGGATATGATCCACATACTTCCATGATGTTCACATCGCACTTAGAATTTCTCGCCTAATGCATCGGAATAGACGGAACTCCAGCTTTGCCTCTGCCGGGTTTAGAGGCTGCAGTCTGATTCTTAATTGCCACATGACTTCCTCTGATCCAATCTTCAATGATTTCTCATCAATTGAATAGTCACCAGATCCATCAACTGAGAGCTTTGCCATAACAGCTGCGGAGAGAACAGCTGAGTAGAGAAGCAGGGTTTGCATTTCACAAGAAAGGGCACGCGAGCAACTGATGAGAGAAGCACGCAGAAGAATAGCTAACGTTGGAAGAGGAAAGTGGCGGCCATCGGCGAAGAGGCGGACGATGGTCAGAATGTAGAAGGATGAGACGTAGTAGCATTTTTGTTGTAAAACTAGCATTTGGGTGGTAGGAATATAATATTTAACTTTTGGGTGTTAAATATGTAATATAGATGTAATAAAGTGGCATGTATGTAATTGATGGTAATTAAAATTGAAATTAATAATACATAAATTAAATTAAAAATATAATAAATTTAATTTTTAAATGAAGTAACAGCCTTAAATCGTGAATTATATTGCCAAATGGCGCCACATGATTGATTACTTAACTTGCCAAACAATTTTCATGATTTAGCAACTTTAGGATTTAGTAAATCTAAGAGTTACAAGATTTATTAAATCCTACATAGTTAAATCCTGCTAGTTGCCAAACAGGCCTAATTGTTTAAGCAGAAAGAAGTTTAGTTTATCTCGCGACATGATTAACTTTTATTTCTATTCTATCATAAATGATGTTGTTGATACAATTTTCTCAATATTATGGATTGTAGTAATCTATTATGTTCTTTTAGTAATTAGGGTCAGGATGATTAGCTTTATCGCTAAATATTTTTAATGCTGTTTGGCTTTGTTAAGGAATAAACCCTTTAATTTCTTTAATGCTGCAATAGATAGTTGGACTTGCTCTATCTCTGATGGTTATCGAATGATCTGACAGTCAGATTATCATCCAATGTTGATGCACAGTAGGGGCACCTCAACATGTATCACTTTCCTTTTTTGGAGGGGCTACTGTTGTTAGCCCCATTTTGTTTAAATTATGCATCTATATGGGGACAATGTGAGAGAAAATTCTATCGAGTTTTTTAATTATCAATAGAAAAAGTAGAGACGCTACATTGAAGAACAAAAAGAAAATAAACACAAGGGTTACACTAGTCAAGATGGGCGACTTGACTTGATCATGTGAGCAACCAAGTACATATCCCAATTCCCAACCATGGAGTTTCCAAAAACAGTGGAATAGTCAAGAATATCACCATAACTAGTACGCTCATGTCCTCAGAATTTGTGAGTTTAAGCTACGGACAATATTATTGTGGCTCTTTGTCAACCAAGTAAGTCGGTTTGATGGTTTGCCTTCCTTTTTACATTAGCACCTGTACATGAATCCAATAAGAGCAGTAGGTGCATCTTGATGTACCATTGCTTCTTCCTGTCGATGGCTCCACACAAATAAAAAAAAATTATGACAAAAAATTCTTAAAAAGCCCTTTGATAACACTAAATGCCCCCTCTATAAGATAAAAAAAAAAGTTCCACCCTAGACTAAATATGTATATTATATTTTCTTTGTTAGGAAAACATTACGTTCCATAACTTCTCTCATGTTACTGCGGTACCAAGATCTTTGTGTTTATTAGCCTTTGATTTTTTTATTTTTTTTTAAGGTTTACAAAAAAAGGAAGGGGAAATCAATAGGGCTGTTATTTGGGTTCATTGGTTGTGTTTGGGTTTGACTCAAAAATGGCTTAACAAGAATAGTTTCCATTAGCCCATTCTTTTTGTTTTCCTTTTAAGAGAGCAAGAAATAGTTAGTAAGCCTCTATTCTGACTAAGAATGATACGATAACTGCCTCCCTCTACGAGGTATTTAAAGCTTTGTTAACCTGTTTCTACTTAAATCTTGCATTAGCAGGAGTAATGCGCTTGATATGCTCTCATTTTTAAAATTTTATTTTGCGTGAGTTCATGTTATTGAGATTTTTAATTATCTCTTTTCTTTTATATTGTCAAAGTTTATCAATTTTTTTGTGCGAGTTTGCTTATATTTCAACTTTTGAACGAATGATTTTGTTGCTCATATGGTTTGAAATAAGTGGTTTGTTATTTTGAGCTCTTAAATCGATTTTTGGTGCAAGTTGTTATTTATTAACTCTGTTCTTGTTAGCTGGAACATTCCAAATGCTTAGAAGTTTTTTTTTTTTTTTTTAAATTTAGTTTTGTACTTATATGATTTGATTATCCAGCTTTGTTTTAATTTGGAGTTCTTCTGTAAACGTGTTCCTTGATGTTTAACAATCAAACTGACTTATTTTCATTCTGCTATCTACAGATGTCGCACACTAGACGCTCAAGGTTAGCTATTTGACAATTATTAACTAGCTTAAGTATTGGATAATTATGTACCTTTTTTTAATATGGAATGTATATTTGTAGGTATTCATCTCGCTCTGCATCACCATATCAGCAGAGTCGTTCATTCAGCAGGTCTCTCTCTCGCACGCCATCAAGGTCAAGGAGTTGGTCAAGGTACTAGAACTATTTATACAAACTGTTTATTCTTATTTTCACCCCGTAAATTATGGGATACGTTTTTTTTATGGATTTTGTTGTAGGGGTTGGAATGCAAAATGTAGATTATTTAATCTATATAAAAATAGACTAAGGGATTCTTTGGTTGTTTGAAAAATAAATACAGTGTAAAAAAGAATATTTTGGAGTTATTTGGATGGTTATAAAATAAATGCATGAGATTATTTTTTTATTTGGCTCTAAATGAAATGAATGCAATGTAAAGTGGGTAGCCAATGGTGGTTGTGTGTGGTCGGTGGTAGTCGGCATGGGGCGGTGATCGTGGCAGTGGTGGGTCGTTGCAATTTCAATGTATTTTCAGTGTATTTGAAAATCGCCCAAATATGAAAAATTCCAAATACATTGGATTGAGGATGAATTCCTTTTATTTCAAAATTTTACTCTTAATTATTTTTTACTTTAAATCAAACAATGATATTTCCTAAACCCTGCACTTGGGAATACTTTAAATTAGCACCTAGTAAACCAAACAGCCCCAAATTTCATGAATGGTGTTTATATGTGGGGTTGTATAATACGACTACGCCTATTGACTAACAGGACTTAATTGTTCTGTTTAAATTTTCCTGATTTTCATTATGAGATGGTTTGGTTAATGAACTGTTTTAGGGGCTGTGACTCTCCGGATGCCGTGAATCCTGGTAACAACTTGTATGTGACTGGGTTGTCTTCTAATGTATCTAAGGCTGAGCTTCAGAATCATTTTGCCAGAGAAGGAAAGGTATGCCTTATTATCAAAAACATATTTGACAGGATATCTTAAATCTGCTTTATTTTGGATCTATTTTGTGATGAGCTTAATACATAAATAGTTATATTGAATTTCTTATAAAAAGATCTTATAATTTTAAAGGCTATTCAGATAAAAAAATTTGATTAGAATATTTTGTTTGGGGTGTTTCCTTGTTGGTGGAAGCTTGCCCCCAACGGGCTGCTTTTATCCGCTACAGCTGGTTAAACTGCATTTTGTTTTGTAATGCATTGTTTGCTACACTATTCCTCTTGGGGCCAGTTTTGCGAAATAAAAGGATCTAACAACTAGATTGATATTGATTAGGTAGTCTAAAAGCGATTATCTTTCTAATTTGCTATTTTTGTTGTAGAGTATATTTAACCTGCATCATTTAAGCAGGTGGTTGATGTTCATCTTGTGGTTGACCCTTATTCAAGGGAATCTCGTGGTTTTGGTTTTGTGACAATGGGTAGAATTGAGGAGGCTGAAAGATGCATTAAATATCTCGATGGATCAATCCTGGATGGTCGGGTCATTACCGTGGAAAAGGTTAGGGTGATGTTCGATTTTGTTTTCTTGTGCAGCAGTTAGATATCTTATTTGATGTTCCAATTCAGTTTTACTTTAATTATATTTATGCTCTTTCTACTAAGAATAAGAATATCATGTTCTTCGCCTCCAAGTTTTTTGCTAGCAGGGGTGGATTGTAGGTAGCAGATCTCCCTCGAATTTCAAAAGATTTACCACACCCTAACAAATCAAATGAAACCATCTCAAGTAATCATCAACCAGAGGGTTGTATGCCTAGCATCATTTTTTTTTTTTTGAACAATTTACACTATTTTCTCTTTAATGCAGGGTTAACTTCTGCAGGGCCTTCTATCTTTCTGATCACATTCCCTGCTTCATATAGTTGCATATTAACTTTCTTATCATTTTCTGACAGGCCAAGAGAGGGCGTGGGCGAACCCCTACTCCTGGTAGATATCTTGGTCTGAGAAGAATCCCTAGTAAGTTTTGTATGTTTATTATATCAGCAGCGCATTTTGGCCCCCCCGCGTCCGTTCGCAGTACTTGCACGACTAATACTTAAAATATAATTGTTGCAGCGCATCGTCGGTCCCCCAGCCGCTCACCTTACAGGGGTCGTCGTCGGTTGAGCAGCTCAGATAGAGAAAGATCTTATTCTCCTTACTACTACAGGAGGTCTCCATCTCCTTACCGACGACGACGATACAACCGATCACCCAACAGAAGGCGCTCCTCTCTGGAGTCCAGATCGCCTTCTCGATCTACAAGTCCATATTACAGCTCACGCAGCCCATCCCCAAGGCTGAGGAGAAGTTCAAGGAGGAGCTATTCCAGAAGCTTTTCTCCAGCCGTTACCGTTAGGAGAAGGTATAGGAGGAGAAGCATCTCTCCAAGACGAAGCTACAGAAGAAGGCGTTACTCGAGCAGCGTTTCACCGAGAAGGCACCACCGGAGGAGCCCTTCACACACTACCGTTTCTAATAAGAAGAGATATTCCCGTGAAAGTTATTCTCACAGCAGGAGCTTCAGCTCGCATTCTACAACTGTTTCTAGCTCGTCAAATAGGTCTACTTGATCGTATCATTCTACAACTGTCTCTAGCTCGTCGAATTGGAGTCTAGTTGATCGTATCATTTGGCTGGCTTTAAAAAAGGTATTTTGACTGAATTAAACCTTTGGTCTGCTTATTGTATGTACTCAATTTTCTTTATCGTTTAGATCTGACGTTGGCAAAAATTAGAGTTTAGAAATTGAGGGTGATTTAGGCTTTCATTCGAGATAGTTTTTTTACTGCTGCTTGAGGCAGTTTTATAAGGCACTTCCTGTTATTACTGCTTGGTTATTTATAAATCAAGTTCATTTTATTCTGATCCTAGTCTGCGTTGAGGCTAAAATTGATTTGATTTCGGGTTATGCCATTTTTAAATAATTTTATTTTGGCAGAGTAAAGAAAGGAAGGATAATTTTAAATAAGAATTTATTTTAAAATTGATCATCTATATTGCACCATAAGATTAACACAGTAGAATAGGAGCTCTTATAATAAATGGCACTGTTATTAGTTATTAAAAATCATCTATATGCATGTACGGTAAATACGACAATCAACGCCAAAAAGAGAGTATAGTCCAAAGGACAAAAAACAAATATTATTTATAGACTAGACAGGCAACATCGCTAATTCAACAGAGTATACTCTTGCTTTATGTAACTAATTGGACCACAGGAGACCTACTGTTCATTTAAACTTAGATTATTAGAACAATCTCAGTAAAAATGATAAAGGAAGATTTAAATTTCGAGTAGTTGTAATTGTTTACTTTACTAAACGATAAACGCAATATTAGTTACAAAACGTATTTGAGGGTAGGAAGTAATCAAAAGAGGCCGCCATCTCTTTATTCAGCTCAAGGAAACTAATAAACGCTCAAATAAAAGTTTGATTATGAGCTAAATTTCTTTCTGGAGAGTTGCAAGTATAAATTTATTCCACACATCTTTTGATATAATATATATTAATAATAATAGTTGAGATTTGTTACCGGTCCCTCGATCCAAATTTGTGAATATATTCATTCTATCAGTAGCTCCAGCAACTTGAACCGGTTTGCCCCATGAAATCTCATCTATGGCACAGGGCAGGGGTTAATTCCCCAGATCTCTTTAGCGTACTGAGAGATTGTTCGATCGCTGCTGAATTTGCCACAACCTGCAGTGCTCAGAATAGACATCTTCACCCACCTTTTCTTGTCCCTGCAACATCATCATTATAGCATTTTCATTTTTAACTTTTTATACTTGAAAGCACACATTAAGTTCATTTGCAGACTGAAGCAAAACATGCAAATTTCTACGCGGATACTCAAAAACTAATTGCAGGCTGCTGAGCTGAAATGGAGGTAAGAATAAAAATCTCGTAGTTTTATATCAGCCAACGTGTTCAATAGATATTTTGTAAATAAACTTAAAAAGAGTTATTGTTTCTTACTTGTATGCTTCATCAACCTGAGCTTGTGCATCCATATAGCTTGGAAAATCCTGGCCTACGAGGAAGTAATCGCCGCGTCCATAGCCAGAGTTTCCCTCCAAGGAGTCTAAAAGTGGTTCGTAGTTGTATGTACCAAAAGCACCACTCCTTATGAAGTGCTTGGCCTCTTCAAATCGTGGATCCGGCTTGAACTGTTACCAGTAACAAAGGGTGCAACATAAGATGGAATTCCTAATCAAATGTATATGCTTAAGAAGCAAAGTGTATTTTTCTGCTCAAGAATAATATGCTTCAAAATTAAATGAAAATTTACTCAAAATGACAACACCGAACATTCCTTGTTAATGGAGTTAATTGTGGCAGTCAAAAAATTATTCGTTCTACAATAATTAACTCATCAATCAATACAACAAGGAAGGTTACGGGAATGAATGAAATTCTGCAAAAAAATATATTAGGCAAGTATCACTCAGAAGAGAGTAATAAAAGAGTTCTAAGGCTTGAAGGGAGCACGACTGGATCTTCTCTATCATGCTTTCTCTTCATTTTAATTCGATCTCGTTCTAGCCACACACAAAATATATTATCAATGGCATTCGTAAAATATTTCAACGATAAAATTGAATGTTTACCAAACCATTTTCTCTCTCCTTGCGCAATCGTGGCACTTCATCTGCTTTTGCACCAAAAAGGAAGAAATTGTCTTCTCCAATCTCTTCTCTAATTTCAACATTTGCGCCATCCAGTGTACCAATAATGAGACATCCATTTAGTGCAAACTTCATGTTGCTAGTCCCGCTAGCTTCCATGCCAGCCGTACTGATGTGTTGAGACAGATCACTACCGGGAATTAGAATTTCAGCCACAGAGACATTGTAATTTGGAACAAAGACAACCTGGATTAATTATGACAAGAAAACAAAAAAAAATTAGATTGTATATATGTTGAAGTATATTTCGACACAGATTAGGATAGATTGTGAGAAATCTCTAATTATCAAGTAGCTGACTTTGAGCTGGATAAACTTCTTATATAAGGATGGCCTTTATCAACTAATCTTACGATATACTTCTTCTCTAATGATATATTATAGGAAAGTAAATTTATACTTGCTGGCTCAAGTAATATATTTGAAACCGGGTAAGAGTAAATCAGTCATTTCCCAGGTTGATAATAATATAATGGTTAAGGAACATCGACGGCAAAAAAATCAAAATACTGCTAGAAGAATAATTCAGATAATTACATCATAAACATGAAGTAAGAAGACTGAGGTAGCAAAGAATCTAGAAGAGAAATTGCAAGCCATGCGAAAAATTTTAAAGAGAGTATCTAACCATATTTTCCTATCGCAATGTAAGCAATCTATTCATTGCTTCAGAACTATCTCTAGGTAATGCAAAAACATGAAGACCCTATAACATAGGAGGTTGAGATGTGCATGCTTAGGCCGCATTAGGTTGCTTGCAAATAGAAAACATCATTGAGGAAGTGATGATTTTGTTTTTCACGTGAAAATGAAATCATCAATCTCAAGGGAGAATTGAGAAGGTTTGTCGAGCTTAAAATTAATATTTGTCTCTAACTATATCCAACCAAATGGAGTGAATAAATTTTATCATCTTGCAAAACATAATTTCTAACTTCAAATGAGCCCTTGGCAGGAAAGATATATGAGTACACAACATACATCAAACAAATGAAAGAACTTAAAGAAGTAGTTGACCATTGTTTCTAGTTAAGAATCTATTTTATAGGCCATTTTGTAGTTTTGACCTACTAATTTGCCAGATGAGTTTGATCAACAATTTCTAAATCCTCAGTTCTGGTCTGTTTACCCAAAAGATTGGGATACATTAAGCCTGCTCAACTGACCAAAGGGTTATAATTTAATTAACTAGAGCACCAACAGTCAAAACTAGACCAAAGCATGCACATTTCAAAATAGATTCTAAACCCTAAATCGACATAAACATTAACATTTTTTTAAAAACAATTACTCTCCCAGAAGTTTAGTTTCTTGTCACAGCAACCTAAATATTCAAGGTTATGTGTTCCTACCCGATCTTTCTTTGGAATCTGAAATCTATAATAAATTTCAAGCAATCTACATTTCAATATCTAAATTAAATTCTTAAAAACTAGCTTTGTAATAAATGTTAGCAATGATTTTAATCTAAAGTGTTATTGGGAAGAACTTTTGAGATGTAACTAATCAAAAAAGCAAGTTCATAGCGGAAATCTAAATCACATAATAAAATAAAATAAATTATTTCTTTTTCTATTCATGGAGAATCTATGGAAACATTTAAAATCAATTCATCTTTAATTGAATCTATGAAGAGTTCGTTTCTATTTTTGGGATAGTATATTCCTTGCTGCAAGGACATCTCTTTTGACGCCCACAGCTTGGAGCTAAGACTTCGTATCGTCTAACCCCTAAGTTGGCTAAAGATTGCTCATCAAACCAAACTTTAATCTTTGAAAAGCTCCGTGGATAAGAGAACTAATAGTTTCGAACAAGAATGTATTCATGTAATGACTAAGAATTATTGAAAATCAAGCTAAAAGCATTGTTCCCTCAGGAAATGTAAATGTAAACCGTTGCGCTACGGCACAAACCCCGCTTTCGCAAGCTTATAAGTCTCATTTTTTGCCGAGGTAGATTGGATTTTAATTAACCAGATTTCTCCCGCTGAATGGCATCAGGGTTTATTTAGTTCAAGGTTTCACTTCATATTAGAGTAAGTCCTCGTAGTTAATTAACCCTCATAACGCGTTGAAAAGAATTCTCGATTAAGGATGAATTAACATTTAGACGTGAAACACTTTTAAATTTTGGTTGTGGGGGATGAAGGTAAACCCAATCAAGATCACATGATTCCATAGTCCCAGGTATATCGTAAGTTTCAATCTACCAACACTAATAATCGTTGATTGCAATATCCATGGAATCTGATTAGCAATCATGAGTTGCTTTCTCTCAGAGATCCCGAGTAAATTGAAGTGGATAGAAATAGCTTATTTGGTTTGGGTTGGGACTTGCGGCTCCGTTTAGGAGTTACCCGTGGTATAGATTTAGGTCAGGTCTTATGAATCTGTTTGGAGTTACCTGTAGTATAGATTTAGGTTAGGGTTTGAGACATTGTTTGGTTCCGAAATTGGTCTTCCGAGAATTGTTTGTGATATGGTGTTTACCCTTAAATTTCGGCTGCCTTCCGGCACCCCCGCCCCACGAAGGAGGTTGGGGAGAGAACTTGCCATTTTGTAGTCCGCCCAGCCGGATAGGATTCAACGGCCGAGGGCTTCGGGATGTTGTTTGGTCTCGGTATACGTCTTCAATCCTTCAGCTTGATGATTGCATCTTATGCTTTATTTTTCAAGAAAACATAATGGAAGGCTTGCGTGAGGCGTGAAATCAGGCATGTGCAAGAATGGGCAATGGCCATTTAGATCTGATTTCCTTCGTAAGTGAAGAGTAGGTGGATCAAAGACTTGGTTGTGTGGCTCGCACGGGTGCCGCGATCAACGGAGGCCGGAGCTAGGGGGTGGAGGTGTGGCCTGCAAAGGCGGGTGGCTCAGCTATGCAGCCGGAGGCGGACCGAACGGGCTCTTGAGCTTGGATCCTCTTCAGGCTCGGAGAAGGAAGCGCGATCAACAAAGATAGGTGGGCCAGCTTCGAATTCACAAGGACGGCGGTGGATCGCGATCAAAGGTGTGGATTGCAGGTTAGTTGCTGAGTCGAAGCTAGAGCAGAACGACAAAATCCCCCGCACAATTTCACCAAAAAAACATGTAAGTGAGCGTAACTCAATTTTGTCATTTTCACATTGTTTTATACAAACCAAATAAGCCGTTGTCTTAATTGCAACGTGCCGTCAACGTGGGAATGTGGCAACGACGTGTCATCATTTTCATTTCTTTTTTTCTTCTTTTGCACAACACTATATTGCGTTATTGACATATATATTGCATTTTTTCTTTTTTTTTTTTCTTCTTACACAACACTATATTGCGTTATTGACATAATTTCCTCAACACTTGATTGTTGGGTATAAGAAAAGTTTGGGTGGTGGTCCATATGAGTATTTCAAAGATAACGATCCATTTTTTTTAGATGAGTTGTTTGACTATAATGAATCTTAGGATCATTTAGCTATGTTGAAATGCATGATTGCTAGCTCTTTGTGCTCGCAAAGATTGGAAGAGAACTTCAATTCTTAATGCTCATATTTCTTGCAACAGTAAAATATGCAAGTTAGTTATCAATAATTAAAGGACTGTGGGAATATCTAAAGACATTAACTCGACTATATATGATTCAATGATGAGCCACATAAGCCCTTTAAGTTCCAAATGAGTTGCCATCTTTTCCATAAAACCATTTTTTTTAATTTTAATTTTATAAGCATAGTTAGCTTACTAAACCAGTGTTAATGGTCATAACAGGCTCCATGACTCAATGCCATGGTTACAACAAAAAATTCCCTAACTTAAGCTATGTTGTCATGGTCAAGGCTCCCTGCTAATCAAGGACTGTTAACAAGCAAGCCCTAGGGGATAAAACCATAGGGTCAGGGTCATGACAGGATTAACTATTTCTACCTTTACACCTATTTCACAAGACCTAAACACATACCGCAAGTCTTCCTTAAATTCTTGAGTCAAAGTGATCTTCTTAATCAAGAGTACTCTCAAGATTAGCAGAGGTAATTAATTATAAAAAATTATGCCTGATATGTCATCAAAAAATTATCTTGATCGGGCACGAATCTCGATGCAAAATCAAGTTGGAAACTTTCGAAACTAAAATTGGGACCATCAGAACTCCCATTTCAGCAAACTTACAGTCGAACTGAATGTCTAGGAAATACAAACCCAACGACACCAAATTCGACTCAATCCGAGCCCAAATGAGTCCAAATCAAGGACCCGAAGCGTTGTTGGAAGGTTCGAACCACAATTTGGATTACCAAATGGTTTCCAAACATTACGTGCTTATAGTCGAATCGAGCGGCTCGACGAGACGAATCCAACGAGCCCAAGATTGCCAAATTCCAACATCACTAAGACCTTCAAATGTTTGACGAACGGTCCACAATCAAGGGATTCAATATCGGCCATCCATCCAACCACTCCCCATTTGCCCTTGATCTCTCACCTATTTACGGGTCATGCCACTCCAGAAATATATAAATAGACCCCTCATTTCTCTTGAGAGAGGACTGAAGCAAGAAGAGAAGAATGAAGAAGAGAAGAATGAAGAAGAGAAAGAAGAGAAGGAAGAAGCTCCTCCTCGACCACCACCGGATCACCACTTGAGGCCCCACCTCCGCTGAACCACCGTCTAACGTTGTTGCTCCACCGGACCACCGCCTAACGTCGTTGAGGCCCTCACCTCCGCCAGACCACCGCCTGACGTCGTTGCTCCACCGAACCACCACTTGATGCCCTCTCCTCCTCTGGACCACCACTTGAGGCCCTCTCCTTCGCCGAACCTCCGCTTGACGTCGTTGCTCCGCCGGACTATCACTTGAGGCCTCACCTCCGCCGGACCACCGTCTAACGTCGTTGCTCCGCTGGACCACTACTTGAGGCCCAGACTTCCGCCGGACCACTGCCTGACGTGGTTGCTCAGCCGAACCACCACTTGAGGCCTTGTGCTCCATCGGGCCACCACCTGAGGCCCGGACTTCTGCCGGACCATCACATGAGGCCCGAACTTCCATCAGGACACCACCTGATGCCTAGAGTTCTACCAGAGTACCACCCTACTACAACGGCCTTTTAGACCCCGGTCTCGTGCCGACTACGGTCCTTCCGACCTCTGTCGCCTACTATGGTCGTTCAGACCTCCATCACCAGACAACGATCCTTCAGACCCCGGTCTCCTGCCAACTACAGTCCTTCCAACCTCCGTCGCCTACTATGATCATTCCGACCTCCATCACCAGACAACGGTCTTTTAGACCCCGGTCTCCTGCTGACTACGGTCCTCCCGACCTCCGCTGCCGACTACAGTCCTAACCTCCATCACCAGACAAAGATGGCCCTTCCGACCTCTATCCCATCGACTATGATCGTGTCGACCAAACAAACACATCTATGCTAATTATTGTAACTCCCACCATATAATGCGCTCTATATGATGTACATTTGTGACATCAAGCCAAGGCCTTCTCCTAAGGAAGGGCCTCATTTGTAATCAACTGCAAATACTAGTGGATTCATTCAAATTGGGCCATGTCCCATGGTTTTTCCCCCTTTTTTAGAGGTTTCTACGTAAAAAATCTGGTGTCTCTTATGAACGCTACACCCTCTGTCTTCTCTGATTGTGTGTTGGATCTTCGTATAATGTTAAGACGTTAAACTATATATTTCTCTACCGCCGCGAATACTCCAGGACGCAACAATGCCCATAAGAAGTATTGAACCTATATTTAAATAAATTATGATCTAACATCAAGAGAAAATCTAATTAAACAAAATCCAATATACCTCAAGGAAAAATCATTTTAAGCCTGTGTAACTAGTGCCTTTAATTTTGAATTTACATCCCTCCCCAGGATCACTTTGCTTCCTGGCAATTATGAGCTACCATTAATTCTCATCTAAGTGCAGAAAAAGTCCTAAATACTATGGATCCATAACGCTCACCTCCTTTATTCTCTATATCATAGCAAGACTGAAAAGGCAGTTGACAGTCCCACCCTTGCACCACAAATCAATTCACAATTGCAAGGAGCAGCGCTTGTGGTGTATTGGCCGTAAGGAGAGGGGTCTGGATGAATTTCCGATTTTCAGCAAGGATATTTAGCCTTTTATGAGAATAATGATTGCTGTAACTAAAATTTAAAACTGCTTGATTTTTAAATATATTTGAACAGATGGAAACATTTGGGAAAATCACATGCCATAGTTGAGTATGATTGACAAAACTGCAGGATTAAATTATAGTTTGACTAGTTTTGTAATAAAAAAATCACAAAGCACTTATCAGAACCTAAAAGGTGCAATAGCGCTAATCGTAATTTTGACAAGAACACTGAAAACAATTCCTGCTATCTTCACAAATCACAATAGTTACAGACTATAATCACCATACCTTCAAATAGTCCTTAATCTCAGGATCATTGTTGATCACAGAACCAACATCATTCACAAGCTTTACTATTCTCTTTGCATTTGTATACGTTGCAAATGCTTTTCCTCCAATCATGATGGTCCGTGGAGTCGCTTTCTTCCTTCCTTCATCGCCCATTTCCTGAAAACCAGTTTCATGGTCATATCCAAAGTTTTATTTGTAGCACTCAAAATCAAATATGAATATTTTTTTTTTGGGAAAGCAACCAATTAGTTAAATTCTGCCCGCTACATATGATTTGTTTGTATTATTCCATCAACCTTTGAGGCTCATGACATGCAGCTTCGTTTAAAACTCTGATTACCGTTAAATTTGGAAGACTAAAAGTCCATGAATATGAGGTATATGTGGGATTCTGTTACAGTTTGCTTTCAAAGGATTTTAGTTCTATTTAGTGAACAAAATAAAGAGGTTTCGAGTTGAATATTAATGCCTGAGGCCAATATAGTATGTAATAAAGAGATCTCCACACACCTTCAATCTTTTATATCTATACACTGCCCCCAGAATGTTTAATAGCTGTCTCTTATATTCATGTATGCGCTTAATTTGGATATCGAAAAGGCTGTTTGGATCAATCATCACTCCTGTAATGTTAAGTATATATTGTGCTAGGCGACTTTTGCTTGCCATCTTTGCTGAAGCCCATTCAGCATGCAACTCCTCATTGTCAGCAAACTGAGCCAAAAAGTTGTCATAAGAACACGCATTAAGGTAGTGGGTACTTGACTACAAACCACTCAAACAAACAAAAGAGACCAAACATTGCAGAAGTTTGCAAGGTTGAATAACAACGTACTTGACAAAGCCCAGAAAGGAGATCAAGATTAGTGATCCAAGCATCACCCTTCAGCCACTTCGTAATTATGTTGCTCAACTCCTGGTTACAGAAACGGAGCCATCGACGAGGCGTAATACCATTTGTCTTGTTCTGAAACTTACCAGGCCATAGCGAAACATAGTGTGCAAATAATTCAGACTTTAAGATATCACTATGTAACTGTGCTACCCCATTTACCTAAAAGGTTCATCGAAAAACCAAATTCAGCATTTAGGTAAGGCTGACATCAGAATATCAATACTAGTAATGGACAAAAAATGTAACTGATCATGCTTAGAACTTGTAATCACAGCTAATAATATTTACTGCAGCTAAGAGAAAAGAAGAATCTGATGTAGTCTACTTCCAGTATGTAATTACGGAGTCATATTAGATGGAATATGCAACAGGTTTCAAAATAGAAAGTTCACGTAGAAGGTTGAACACATCTGAGAAAGCATATAAAACAAGTCAGAAATTTTTTAATACATTTTATGATTAGCCAGTCAAAAAGTAGGTCATTCGCATACAAATTTCTGATCAGAAAGTTTAAGCATCATTCAATTATCCTTCTAATGAAAAAACAAGGATCCAATAATTGATGCAATACTGCAACATTGTAAACTGTGAAGTTCTGCTAAAATGCCTTCTTTACTGAATACAATCTGAGTTTTAGATCTAGAAAAAAATTGCTTGATTACATTAGGAAAAACATGAGAAGTTCAAGATTCTTAAGGGACGTGGAACTGCCTTACTGTGTGTGAAGAGACGACACACAAATTAGCCATGCGTACTACGGGTTTCTCTGGATTGGAACTATCAAGAATTTGCATCAACGGTAGCTTGCTCTCCATGTCCCTATGGTTGGAATTTACCATCGCTTTGAACTAAAAAAAAATGGAGAAATGGGAAGCATTAAATAATAGTCAGTCCAATTAAACAGCATAAATAAAAAGGAAGAGGGTCATACCCTCTTATCGATTTCTTCAATAATTTCCATATGTCGGGGAAGAAGTTTCCACATTATAGCCTGTGACCATTTCTCTAATGCTTCCGGAAGAACAGTGTGATTGGTGTAAGCAATAGTCCTGGAGTAGTTCATACATTTAATTAGCCAAATAGCCTTTACAGTGCAAGCAGAAAACACATCAAATAATGAGGAAAAGGCAGCCTATTTTAAAAATGAATGCAATCTCAATGACGAGAAAACAAAAATACCGATGCACCTTGATGTCACATCCCAGGCTTCATCCCAACCAAGCCCTTCATCATCCAGCAATAGCCGCATTAGTTCTGGTATGGAAAGTGTGGGATGAGTATCATTCAGTTGAACAGCAACTTTGTTAGGAAATTCAGACCATTGATACGGCCCTTTTCCTTCTTTCCTCTTCTTGAATCTAGCAATAATATCCTGCAATATCAAGTTTTTTTTTTAAGGCCAATCACATCTTAAATAATGTCACCATCACTTGCCCCAACAATTTAGCGTTGGATAACAATCATATCTTAGATATCCTAAGTTCCAAACATATGAAGTCTACCGAATAAGTAATCATGACCGTTTATTCTAGGCAAGGGTTCATCTAGTGAACAGCAGACTTGGCATCTTCCATATATTCCAATATAGTATAAGCATGCACTTCACAATCCCTGCTGGCTTACAAGAAGACTACTGCAGCCAGCTTGGTCTAACAGCCAAAACAGTAGTACTTCAAGTTTTGAGTTTCATTAACATACGGCCCAGACCTGACTTCACACTGAGAATCTACAGCAGCTCACATTTATATACCATCAAATTTAAGCCCCATCAAAGAGGTCTTGAAGTGCATTTGTGTGATTCAAAATAGTTGGAATAGAAGTAATGATGATGCTGACAAGAAAATGCCTTTAAATTTACAGGACCAAACTCAAAATGAAACGGGGAGAGGGGAAAGTAATAGAACAATATGGACATTTTGATAGAGTATAATTGTGAAATTAAATATAAGATAAATTCATCTAAAAAACAATTAGTTGGATATGCACAATGACTCATATACATTTCGCATGTTCATTATAGCCTGGCCCAAACAATACCATTACCAAAAAGGTGAGAATTAAGTAAGAGGTAAAATCTATCACCATTTCCAATGGAAATGCTTCTCAAGTTACTTCGACAACGAAAAGAAACAAATTAAATATGACAGTAAATGCAGATAATCGCCTAAAAACATGATGCAAAAGAACACAAAACAGACAAAATATCATGGGCCAACCCTCCCAAGTTTTGAAAGGCAAATGCTTCCTTGTTTGAATTCAGATGTTAAGAAGAAATCAGTTTGAGAAACTAATTTTCAATATTATTGTGGTTGGTCAAAAAAGAAGTATGAGTACAAATGCTAACATGAGATTTAGGAGCCACCACTTACTGAAAACAACACTTTCAAGTCAGAGGAATGGTCCTCATCAATGAGGAGCATGCATATTAAATATACTATATGATGGAAATCAAGAAGTATTGCCGCATTGAAAGTAAATAAATTATGGATTTATATGAGTTATATCATTAAATTTTATTTTTCTTTTAGTTATTTTATATAAAATATGTCTATGACATCAAGTCTTATACAAATGGGATGAACTCCGCAATATTTTGAGAAGTTTGTTAAATCAAGCTCTTTGATGCATCATTTCACCTTATCCCATAGAATTCCAATATGCACACATACAATTCAAAAGTTTTTGATAGATCGGCTAAGCCGGTGGGCCCCACAAGGGGGGCGAAGGGTAAGAAAATCAAAGATGAGTAATTATTTACCATAGAAGACCAAGATTGGAAGGGAATTGAAAATATTTAAAGAGGGCTGATTTGATTGGGAGGAAAATAGAAAGGTTTGTTTATGAAAGAGAGCTGATTTGATTGGGAGAGAATTAGGAAGGTTCTAAATATGGTTATTGTATGTTAGAAAGGATTTAATTGTGAATGTTTCCTAAATCATGTTTATGATACTTAGGAAGATCCTAATTATTTAGGATGGTTTCCTAAAATATGTTGATTATGAATGTTCTATTTGTGTTATGGTGTTCTAGGTCTATTTAAGGGGGAGTTTTTCTAGGGTTTAGGAGTATGATGTGACTGAGTTTTGGTTTTGTTGTAGTTCTTTTCTTCGAGGGCTTCCTTGCAGCGTCTAGGTTGATTGGAAGAGCCGATCTAACTCTAGAATTGTAGATAACTTGTATTTTATTTTCTCTTATTAAATTATTAATACAAAATCGACCACCATTTTGGTTTTACGATAGTTTTTCTATTTGTTATTTTATGCTTTTGCTTCTAAGGCATATAAAATTGGTATTTGAGTAATTTCTTGGGACCGATGGCTGGGGCAAGAGTTGAGGTGTTGGAAGAAAGGTTGGTGAGCAAAGTAGGCAGCTGAGAAAGGATATGGGATCGTTGAATGAGCGCCTTTTAGCAATGGAAAGAAGGTTTGGGAATTTGGAAGATATGATGAAAAAAATCAAGATGCAGTCGAAAACTTCACCGGCGATTCCTAGGGATGAACCAAAAGGAAATAAAATTCTAGAGGAGATGATGAGAAAGCTCATGGAGATGCAATCTAAAACCCCACCGACGGTTCCAATTGCTAACCCTAATCAAGATTTGATTGGGATTCCCTTGTTCGAATCTAAAAGGAAAGAGATCAACCGAGAAGATTTCGATGAAGAGAAACTCCTTTCATCAAGAGCCATCTCCTAGGGCTCTGATAAGGAGCATAATAAGGTTTTTGGATGGGGGACAACAAGGAGAGAATTTTATGGTGGAGGTGGTGGGGCCAACCACTATGGGAGGCATTTCATGCAAGGGGATTGAGCGACCAGAGATGGAGGGGGTCAAGCTGAGTCATGGGGACCGTGTAATGCAAGGAGGGTGGAAAAAAGGTGGGATTCCCAACCTCGATGCATGGGAAAACATGGAGGGATCACGACAAATGCTATGCTGGAGGAGGAAGAAGCTATTAGGGCAGTGATGATTCCAGGGTGAGAAAGTTGGAGTTGAGAATAATTGACGACAAAAAACATTAGCAACATAGACTAAACTCCATATAGCACAAAAAGTGCAAAACAAGTTTAAGGAGCAGTTGCATGATGCAGAAACAACAAAAGGTTCAAGCACTTGCTGAATTAGAAAAAGCTAAGGAATCGGTTGAGGAGCTGACACAAAAACTGATTACAATCAATGAGTTTAAAGAGGAAGCATTAAAAGCAACAGAAGATGCAAAAAGTCAAACAAAGCTGCTTGAACAAGAAAGCCTTGCCAACAATTCTGAAAAGGACATTTACCGGAAGCACGAATTAATTAGTGCCAGAGAGCAATATGCTACCGCCCTCTCCAAACTGGATGCAGCAAAGCTCGAGCTTAGGAGGATCCAGAAGGAATTTGAGACATCCATGAAAACTAAAGTCACTGCCATCCACCAAGAATTTATAGCAAAGTAGCTTTCTGATGCTAACAAAAGAAGGCCGCTCAACTTGCTAAGGATATTGCAGCCATGCAGGACTTACTAGTTGTGGGCTCCGAAAATTTGGCCCCGGCCTCCGCTCGCTGTTCTTCTTATTCAGCGAGGGAGTTTTGACTGATAAGTTCCGAGGTAAATTTTGGAAGGCAGATGGGTTTGTAGATAAGACACTACCCAGAGATTTCGCCCTCATTTCGCGATGACTTTATGATATGAGTTCTGGTTTCCTATAGGCGCAAGCCCCTATAGTTAATTACCCCTCTCGGTAACGAGAGAGAACTTTCGATTAAGGCTAGTCGTCAATCAGATACGTAGTGAATACGTATTATCTGGCATATAGTAGCACATGGGTATGGGTTTGGAAATATTTGGAAGTTTGGAAATTTGGGCAGATTTGATATTTGAAATTGAAAATTGCAACATCTTGCACTTAAAACGGATGGTGGGGGAATTGATGATGGACCCGATCAAGATCCCATGGTTCCGTCGTCCCGGGACATCAAGGTCCCTGGTCTACTTAGTCAGAGGAGGTAATCGACCTAACCTGACAGAAGGATCCTTGTCGGCAGTCATTGGTTGCTGCGTCCAAGGGAACCTTGTAGAGCTGGGGTGAATGTTTGTCTAAGAGGACAAATTTGAATCCTACCTTAGCTAACAGAGGGCTTTGTGCCCTATCGATCAAATCCTATTGTTCATATCTCAAGGATTTGATGCCAATAAGGAACGTAACGACGCTGGCCATAACCGGTATTTCGTAGTGCCATTTGGCGGTAAAATCACTCGGTTTAGAGGGCCCCGGGTCGTCATAACCATTTATCCTACGATGCCAATTGGCGGCAAACCGCCAGTTAGAGGACACGTACCACGTCCTTACTGGCAGGAGATTTGTTTGATAATGGATCCTAGTGATATTTTCGACTAGGCATTTGGCTCTTTGTGAGCTGAGGTAAATTTTAATTTGTCCACCCCGGCAAACTGTGGCGGAGGGTGGACGGATTTTGCTTTAAGTATTTGATGGTTGGATTTCAAATTTAAATATTTGGATTTTGGGATTTGCCGAATTTTGGATTTGGACTTGCGGGAGGCATTTAGAAAATATTTGTGAACCCCTCTGGTTGAGATCTTCGTTCAACACGACCATCATCGGGGTGTACTTGGGGTCATTTCCATTTGTTGATCGAACTCTGTCAACTCAGCTGAGCTATTGACTGAGGATCTGGTTTCGTAGGCTTTGTGGCTTTGCTTGTGAATTTTTTTTGTTAAAGGCCTTGAAGGCCTAATATGAATGTATAAAATAAATATTCCGATCACATTCGTGACCGTATATTTATCTCAGAGTTTGAACCCTGTCTACTCCTATTCATCTGCTTAGAAAGATCGGGTTTCGTAGGCTTTATGACTTTGTTTAGTGAATTCTTTTGATTTTAGGCCTTGAAGGCTTAATATGAATGTATTGAAACAAATACATCGGTCCCCACAACCATGTATTTGTTTGAAGGTTCGAACCCTGTCGACTTCTATTGATCCGTATAGAAGGATCAGGTTCAAACTTGAATTCACTTATTGACCCGCGCAGCATTCCTAGGTGTCACGTGTGTACCAATAACACGCTCGCCGGGGCCCATGCGGGTCGAGATTGCATTTACCCCTTTAGTGTACCTATGTGTATACAAATTATGGGGCACGTGTAGGGATATTTTGAAAGTATTTGGTTGTGCAGGTATTTTTCATTTGAATACACAACATTTCATTTGAGAGCTTATACACGCCTTCTGTCTGCTAATACGAGTGTTGCGGATCCGGTGGCGATATGCTATAGATTGTAGACACCTTTTGTCTGCTTGAATGAGTGTTGTAGATCCGGTGGCATTATGCTGTATATTGTAGACGCTTTCTGTCTGCTTGCATGAGTGTTGTA